GTCTTGCACTGCAAAAAATCTTTTTCTTAAATTTCTATTTTTCTTAAAATAAGTGCATTTCTTCTTGAATTGAGGAGGTAAAACAATTTTTGCCAATGGAACAAGACAATTGACACTTAAAATAAGAAACACTATTGCATTGTCTTATTTCAAGTGCATATTATCTAATTATCTTATTTTAAGTGTAAAATTACTAATTCCATTGGCAAACTATCTCATTTACCTGCTCAAATTAAGGGTAAATACACTTAATTTAAGACATTTTTACTTATTTCTAGATCGTTTTTGCAGTGCGGAGATAATCTATTATCAAACCTGGAAGTTCAATCAGCTGCTGTGCATCAATAACAATTCACTGTTAAGGAAAATAATTTCCCTTTTTATTTGTTTCTTCCTTTAGTTTCTGCACTTTGTGCTCTCCATGGAGCTTATGCTGGGGTTCAGCATGAATAAGACTAGATGCTGGAGCGCCATCTGGTGGTCTTTGTGTGCAGCTGCTGCCTTTGTTAGCTTCTTACATGGAGTTTGGATGGAACATTTATCTGAAGAACAAAGATAACAAAGAGACAGAGGCAGGATTAAACCAGTTTGGTTTGATTATTTAACAAAGGTTGCATTAAACAGCTGCTGTTTCTTAATCAGAGGCTAGACCAGAAGCAGATCCTCTGCAGATTTTTTACATAAACATGTTGCGTCTCAATAACAATCAGAAACCTGAAGTAAGTTTGCATTGCTCACTTTATTCTGTTTTCTTTTCTTTACATTATAATAATCAGATTTATATCCTGTATTTACATGTTCTGCTGAAAAACAGAAACTGAATCCTATTAGAATAGCCAAAGGTTTCACTTTGTTCTCACATAACAGCTAAATAAATCAAAGCCAAGGTCTAAGAAATGGCAACAACCTGCTTTGAAAACAGCTGAGATCTAGAGTCACAGTGGAAAGAAAGTAAAACCCGAACGTTTCACCATAATTGAGCATAAAATACTACCGGGAGATTAAAAAGGCTTAAACATTTCTGATCCGCAACAACTTATTAATGTCATAAAAATAAACCAGCAGGAGCAGGAAGGTGGTCATTTGATACAGTTGATCATAATATTCTGTTAAAAAGGCTTGAATATTTTTTTTTTCAGGAAGGAAACAGAACTAGACTGGTTTAAATCTTATCTGACTTCAGCTATCTTTTAGTTTGTTCACGTTAATGACAAATCTTCCGCGTGCTCAAAGGTTACCTGTGGAGTACCACAGGGATCAGTGCTTGGACCAATTCTCTTCACTATATATATATATACGCTCCCAATCGGTAGAGTTATTAGACAGCATGGGGTTAATTTCCACTGTTATGCTGATGATACCCAGCTATATCTGTCTATAAATCCAGATGAAGCTAACCCATTACATAGATTACAGGCATGTCTCGAAGACATAAAAACCTGGATGACTTTTAACTTTCTTCTCCTGAATGCAGACAAAACAGCAGTTATAGTCTTTGGACCAGAGTCTCTTGAAAAAGAAGCTGATTTGTCAGTCACTTCATTTGGATGGGATTAAACTGATCTCAAATAATAAAGTAAAAACTCTTGGTGTTATTTTTGATCAGGACCTGTCATTTTAATCCCATTTCAAAGAGGTTTCTAGAATTTCATTTCATCTACGTAATAACAAAAATGAGAAGTATCCTGTTCAGGGGTGATGCTGAGTAACTAATCCAACCACAAACTATAGTTAAAAGCCTTCAGCTGATCCAAAATGCTGCAGCCAGAGTTCTGATGAAAATGAAAAAGAGAGATCATATCTCTCCTATCCTAGCTTCTCTTCATTCTGAGATTAAAGTCCGAATTCTGACTTTAATCTCAGAATTCTGACTTTTTTCCCCTGTTAAACTGAAATAAAATGTAAAAATCAGTTTACTTTTTTTTTTCAGTGGCCCTAATCCTCTTCCGTAGATACATGTACCATTGCACCTTAATCCTTATTTATCTTGATATACTGTATATATATTGTTTATTCTTAATTCACCTTTTTCCTCCTTGTTTGCACCTTCTTTAATTACTATGCCAATATGTGACCAGTGAATTTCTCCGCTGTGAGATCAATAAAGCTCATCTAATCTAATCTAAGTGCATTTTATCCTAAGTTGAGGAGGTAAATGAAACACTTTTCCAATGGAACAAGATGATTTACATTTAAATTAAGAAAAATCAATTGCATTGTCTTATTTCAAGTGCATATTATCTAATTAGCTTATTTTAAGTGTAAAAATACTCATTCTATTGGCAAACTGTCTTATTTACCTGCTCAAATTAAGGGTAAATATTTAAGAAATGTTTAATTAATTTCAGATCGTTTTTGCAGTGTACCAGTTTTAGTCTGTGAGGCAGACACCCTGTCTACTTTTAAGGGTAGGGATAAAACTTTCCTTTTTGATAAAGCTTATAGTTAAAAATAGAGTAATATCACAGCCAGATCTAGCAGGGGAGAATTTCAGTCCGGACAGACATTTCTCCTCGACTACCTCAGCCCAATTGTGGCTCTATGTTTCTTATACTTCTTTATACTATTTTCTGAATTTGTGCTGCTATCTTTGGGCTACTGGATCACATAGGGATCATTTTTCCTTATTCTGCTTCATTCTATATCTATTCTCCCTTTCTGGAGTATTTGTCAAGATCCACTCATAACTTTGTTGTCTCTGCCATTTCTTATCATAGTAGCTTCATCGTGTCTGTCTGGCTGTGACACCATCCAGGAGAGATTTCAGCTGTGCTGCCATCGACACCTTTGTTTATAGATGTTGGAGCTTGGCCTGTTTCCAGAGTAGTCCCGTTTCTTTTACAGTGGAGCTCGTCTTCCTGGCTGCGTGTGTCCTGGATGGAGCCGCCTTTGGATTTGCTTGTATCTATGCTTCTTTTTCTTTGCCTGCTTCTGTCTCCTTGATACCAGTCGGCCTTAGCAGAAGGCTGCTCACACTGAGTCTGCTGGAGGTTTCTTCCTGTTAAAAGGGAGTTTTCCTCTCCACTGCAGCCACATACCTGCTTGGTGTGAGGGATTGCTGAAGCGTCAACGACAAATTGCAAGCGCAGGTCGTCGCCGCAGACTCACCCAGGAGCATGTATTGCAAGAAAATCTGGGCCTTGAGATGACATTTGATTGGTGCTATATAAACAAACTGAATTGAACTATTAATAAATATATATACCTATATTTATACCTTGGCCCATTTAAAGTACAGGCAGATCTATGAGATATACTTTTGGTCATTATTTCATAAAATGCATAACCCTTAAGAAAAAGTTCTTCTCCATATTATAACAGTAGCAGCCATTCAAGATTTCCCCACTTTCCTTTATGGGTCCTTGGCTGGTCCCCTAAGAATCTTTTTTTTTAAATCAATCCTTGTACTAAATTATTATTTCTTTCATATTTTGTGGACATTAAAGGGATAGTTCGGGATTTTTGACATGAATCTGTATGGCATCCCCATCACCAGTGTCATGCAATCACACTGACTTACCCCTGGCAGCGTCCTGTGAGCAGAGTTCTCGTCCAGCTTTGGTCAAGCCGAAAGTAGTCCGGCAGGTTTGCTAGACCCAGCGAAATAGCTCCTAGCTAGGCGGAGCGAGACATGCATCTGGCTGTTGTTGAGCTCGCTGTCAGAATGACGGCGCGCACTGATACGAACAGAGAGAAAATAGGACCAAGTGATAACGACGTGTGACTTTTTCCACTACAATGTTTTTGGGATGCAAAAATATCACTCTTTTGAGCACATAATGTTTTGGGAAGAGAAACGTTTTATTTCGCTGGGTCTAGCAAACCTGCCGGACTACTTTCGGCTTGACCAAAGCTGGACGAGAACTCTGCTCACAGGATGCTGCCAGGGGTAAGTCAGTGTGATTGCATGACACTGGTGATGGGGATGCCATACAGATTCATGTCAAAAATCCCGAACTATCCCTTTAAGATCTAAAGAGAAGCGCCTCCTGATCAGACCCTGTAATTCAGTGAAAGGGTGGAGTCAGATTAAAACAAATATGCACACCCAGAAGAATGAGGGGGTCACTACAGGGGCTGGAAGTTGGCTGGCGTTTGACTGGGGAAGGGCCATTTTGAATGGCTGCTACTGTAGTTCTGTTGCAGGCTTGTGAAATTTTAAATCTAAAGCCTGTTTTAATCACCTTCAGATGACTCATATGTTACGTTTATAGATGCTAATTAGGGATGCGCGATATTGGGATTTTGGCCGATATCCGATATTTTAAAACTCATGTAGCCGATAACCGATATCGATGTTAAAGCTGGACAAAAATAAGTAGTCATTGAAAATCGCAGTTTTGTTATCCATTTCTGACACTTTGAAAAATAATATACTCAAATATATTTTCATATGCTGATATCAAATAGATTTTTAAAAACGCGGTATCGATCTATTTTACTTTCAAAATCTCGTGAAATTTTGCAAATTCTTGTGAGATTTTGTTAGTAAAATAGATCGATACCGCGTCAATATATCAACATATAAAAATATGGCAACATTTCGTGAATTTTCGGGGGATTTCGTAGCATAACGATGACATATAGCAATATTTCATTAGTAAAAGAGATTGATATGGTGTTTTTAAATGGCAATATATCAGCATATGAAGATATTGTGATATTTTAATGTATCAATATTTTTTCCCTCGTCTTTAGAAGTTTTTAAGTCTGTAAAAAAGAAGTTTTTGAGGAAGAAGAAGAAGTAGTATTTTTTATTTTTTTTTAGACTTTAGAAACTCAGAAGCTGATCAAATATCGGGTTAAATATCGGTGGGGTGGCCGATGTCCGATATTCAGTTTTAAGGCCGATACAGGCTGATACCGATAGGGGGCCGATTATATCGTGCATCCCTAATGCTAACGTTTTGTTTATATGACCAAAGACAATCAGAATACCCTAAACTGGGTATTCTGGGTTTTAAGTATAAATGGATGTAGTCTTACAAATAACTTACCTCTTTACATTTGTATTTATTGTATGCCTTGTATTCTGTATAGCTGTGCATCTAACAAACTTTCCGTTTTATCCATCTCACACATTCATTTTTATTTTTTAATGCTAGGTAGAAGCAGAGAGAACGATGTGATAATGATGACTTGTTGTCTTTTTTCCAGGAGTTTAGCATGGTTTGCTAATGTCTATGGCAATGCTAGCATGAGCGGCTAACTTCCCACAAACAACTGAAGCTCTGTGTGTTAAATTGGTCTTTGAAATGTTGCCAATCATCAACAATGGAGTTGTCAGAACTCTCTTTTCTTCATGGCCCTGCTGAAGAGGGTTCTACAAACCTTTAAAGAGGGTTCTACCTAGGAAGGTACTTAAAGCTGCTGGATCTACAGGCAGATCACTTATGCTTAGTTTTTCTTGACATGATGGAACGTTTTGGTGTAAAATGTTTGGTTTTTGTAATTAAATGTAGTCCTGAAAAGCAGAACCCTAGAGGTTAAAAATAATCTACGTTCTTTCCACTGCGAGTCATTTGAAATGTTCCTGTCCGCTCAGCTTGTCATCCTCGGTTAATACTCTTCTGTGTTCAGGTTCCTCTCCAGGTTAGAAGGGATTGATCCGGACTCCTGTTCCCAGCGGGGAGAACGGGTTCACCTTGGCCCACATTAACGCATCATTTAGGGAAATGGCAGATTTATTGTCCTCCAGTAAAAACACTGGACCCTGAAAGAACAAGAACGTCAGCGTCAGAGTAAACACTCAGAGGAACACAGACGCCTAGAGAGGCTCACCTGGATCCTGTGTCCGGTGAAACAGGACAGGTGAAGGTCCGAGTGGCTCGGCAGGTTTGAGCCAGTCACGTAATCGGCTCCGTTCAGAACCAAGGTAGCTGGGGAGAGAAGGAAACGCCCGTCAGTGGATCGTCATTCCGCATCACGTGTACAAGAGGACCAATCAGAGAGCAACGTGAAAACAGCTGAACTCATCTAGAGACTTCATGGTCCAAAACCAGGAATGCCTTCGCTTACCTCAGATGAATCCAGACAGGTCTGCTTCTGCTTTCCTACATAATGGATCTTTTCAACCTGTGAATCTGAACAAACCAGCTGGAATAATTCTGGACGGTTACCTGATTCTGTTGGCAGAATTCTCCTCTCCAGGCAGCTGAACTCCTCTGACTGGCTCTCTGATGGTTGACTGTAAACAGACATGCATGTAGATATATTCAGTTTGTCACTGATAGGGGGCAGTGGTGTCAAAAGTACACACATTTGTTACTTAAGTAGAAGTACAGATACTGCAGTTAAAACACTCTGGTAAAAGTTGAAGTATCAACTTGACCTCTTTACTCAAGTAAAAGTGAAAAAGTATGTGCTCCAAAAACTACTTAAAGTATAAAAGTATAAAGTTACCTCCAAATAAAAACAGCCAGATGCCACTATATGAATTAAAAGCTCAATTTTTCGACTATATCGAAACGTTCTTAAGGCCAAGGATGAGGGAGGTCTTGTTGGTCTCCATCTCCCGATAGACTCTCACCTGTGTCCGCCATTTCAGACATTTCAACATCTTTTTCTGAATCCATCATTGTAGCATGGCATAGACAATTCACGTTAGCAGTTTGAAGAACACCTGCTTGCTTCTGATGATTTCCTTTAGCTAACCAATGAGTGTTTGCGTTATATGACTCATCCAATTACACTAGTTTTCACTAGATGTGGATGAAGCCAGGGGTGGACTAGCCTGGGTGCCTTTCCGAACTTAGTCCCGCCCGCAAGGTTTGAGGTCGGGAAGTTCGGTCTGGCATTGCTCAACAGTAGCGCGAGTATGATCGCCCACTCTCTGGCGATCCAATCAAATTGTCAGGGCGGGCTTTATACGATGATGGACAGTTGATCAACAGTAACGTAATCAACCACGTCACCAAAGCGCGCTTGGGTGACAACAACAATGGCTGCCGCCGGAGAGTTGAGGTGTGTAGATTCGGCTATTAGGTCTGTTCTAGAAGATATCGACAGCAAATTAATTTTAAAAGAGGAACAGAGAAACGCGATCAAGGCTCATCTTCTAATTCTAGGCGTGCAACTGCACGCTTTGATTTTTGTTGACAACAACTATGCATCGCTTAACATACGTCACACACTCCGTTGCTCTTATTGGTTTTAGATCTATCCAATTGATTGCAGAGGCATTTTTTTTCCTGGTTCGTTCAAAACACGCCCCATAATCACAGCTCTATGGAGCAGTATCAGACTCATATTCTGACTAGAATTGAGTAGGACTACGTCAGGCTAGGGGTGGACTGGGACAAAATAAATCGGCCCTGGCATTTTGGACTAGACTGGCCCACCACTTTTTTTTTTGGTGTACTGAACGTGTATACCAACTGTGCAATACCTTGAGGCCTGGTTCATGGAAATTAGTGAGAGTGGACACTTAAAATATTTCTAAAATCTTAATTTATTAACACTGTAAAATGTAAACCCCACCACAGCACAGCAACAATTTTTAGATCAGAGAGAGGGAGAGAGAGAGCAAGAGAGGGAGAGAGAGAGAGAGAGGGAGAAAGAAAAGTCACAGTCAATCACACAAATTGCTCTTCTGTGCGCTGGTGCACATGCCTCCAATCAGACATCCCAGTAATAAATGAGCTTGTGTCAGTAGTCTTTCCAAATGCAATACATACAAAACTAAATATGTGAGCCACCTCCTGTTGGTTGCATTTTTAGTGGTGAATACCTTTTGCACAACTGGGTGGTGATTCAAAAAGCTTTGTAAAAGACAAGGATCAGGACGGGCAAAGTAATCTATTTCCTCCTGCTGTCTGCTCTCATCTCTCTCGCCATGTCTCTCCTCGGCCGCACTGACTCGGTTCGCCGTCGCCTCCACTACAACCGCAGACATCCCAAGTTCCAAAAACTCATTTCAGGGAGATGCTTAATGAAGATCAATTGTGCCTTCATCAGTAGTGGATTAGAGATAAACAGGGAATTCAATTCAGTTTGCTTCAGGTAGATATTTCCTGATGCAGAAAATAACAATCTTATTGTACAATCTTATTTATGATGCTTTATAATAATAAATAAGTGCCATAAAATATTTGCTCGAATGCTTGCATTAATTATCTGTGCCCATGTTTTTATAAAATAAATAATTGCCCCCATTCTTTTTTTTTTTGCTCACGTGCTCTGTGCGCTCGCATTTTATTTGGTGCCCTATTGTGCCCCTGTATAGTACTGGGTCAGCTGACGCCCGTGGCCGCACCGTGCCCCATTCATGCAGTCCATCATTCTTCACCTTCACTAGACATGGGTTAGGGTTAGACTTTCTGCTGTAAATTGAGGTGACTGTAAAAGAGTAAACTGAAACTTATTGGCTTGTTTTTCTGACTGATCCAATCAGCTCTCTGATCAGAGCATCGCTTTGGACAGATACACTGCTGAGGTTTCACCAGCAACCTCCTCCTCCACACACCCCGCACTCTCTTGTTGTCTGCACAATCGCAGTAGTTCTAATCCGCACATGATGCATGAATTATTGTATTGCCTGCTCGCTCTCACTCGCATTAAAAAAACACCACCTCGCAGAGTCTAAAATCCGGGATAATTTATCCGACTCGCGGGCATCAATGAACAACTACCTATATCAGGGAGACTCCTGGAACTTCCGGGAGACTTGGGATCTCTGCAACCACCACCATCATATTTTACATCAGACACCGGAGCAGATGAAGGGCCTGCTGTTGGGAACATTTCAGTCAGTTTCTCTGCGCCTCCCTTGCGTTTCTTATCCATTACTACCGTGAACGCCGCTGCACTAAGTTCCAATGGAGAGTGTAGATGTTTTTCTACTTTCTGATTGGCCTAGCCCTTTAGACTGACAGGGATGATAACCAATGGGCTGCAGCAGCCTGTGGTAAGGGCTGGATGATCGGAAGAGACCCTCGCGCTGCTGATTTTATTTTTCTTTATGCATTATGCAAATATAATGAGGCAGATATATAATAATAATAATAATAATAATAATAATAATAATAAACATTATTAATATACATGTCGGGTCTGCAGGCCCAAACAGCACGTCGGCCCACCGGGCAAATGCCGGGTACGCCCGATTACCAGTCCATGCCTGAATGGAGCCAATGATCCGCATTGATTGGCGCACATGACATGAAATAAATATTTATAAACATTAAACCGAAACCAAGAGTAACAAGTAACATTTGTTTTAAAAATGTAAGGAATAGAAAGAACAGATACTTGTGTGAAAATGTAATGAGTAGGAGTCAGAAGTAGGAAGAAAAATAATTATTGGAGTAAAAAGTATAGATACCTAAAAAGTGGACTTCAGTACGGTAACAAAGTATTTATACTTCGTTACTTGACACCTCTGCAGGGGGGACAGCAGAGCAACGAGGACATGAGATGTTCTAGAAAGGTCCATAGGAACATGTTCCACTGACAGGGGAACAAGGATCCAAAGTCACATCTTACTTTGGCATTTTCTCACCATCAGTTTTTGTTTTTTTAGGAAAAGTCAGCAAGGAGTGATCAATAAATAATTATTTATACTTAAAACTAATACTAATAATGAATTTAGCATTAATCGGTAAGAAAATAAAAGCAATAATTTTCGTTGCGATCACCGAGTCTGGGAGCAGCCATTTTTGACCAAGTAGAGTAACACATCACTGATGACATCTTCCGTCAGCGACGCCTCGGTGTGGTAAGCCTAGCGCATGCATTAGGGTTGCGATGATAACACGCAACCATAACCCCTTTACATGGGAACAGAAGACCTCGCCTATTCAGCCAGGCCAACAATTCCCTTTAACAACCCCCGCTCAGAGACATAGACAGGTATGAGGCATTACAGGCTAATAAAAGGAACAACAACCCCCATTCCAAAGGGGCAGACCTGTTCCAATTGCATGTTTTCTAAGCCAAAACAAGGCTTTGTTGGGCTACTGTATAAAGCCTCGAACTCAACGCTATTTCCGACATTTTTAATTGAAAAAGTTTCCTGGCCAAACGTCTTCAAACTTGGAAACAAAGTCCAGTACAGTGTTAATGTCGTAAACTAGGACGATGATGAAAATATTTCGTCAACACCCCTTTTTCCCGAATGCGCACTTTCATCTGGTTTGGTCTGCTGCGCTTTCTGTAGACTCATGAACGCGCTTTTAGGAAATCCTATACACTACTGTTTAGGCTCTAAAACATTCTAAATGACTTTGTTTCGAGTAAATTATGGACGCTACCCACTCAGGACACTTGGAATACATTGGACGAGCAGTATGGAGGAATATTGACACGTTTTTTGTGGACTTTTATGGACCTTTCTGCCTCGGGCACCATAGACCTCCATTATTTGAATGTCAGCAGACAGCAAGAAGCCTCCCAGATCTCCAGATGCATTTGAGATATCAAAAAAGTACTCCAGAGTGTTGTTCAACATGGGGGTGAGTAGAAAATGAAGGCTAATCATGTTTTGGGTGTACTATTCCTTTAATATAATGTTTCTTGAGCTTCATAGATTACACGTTGTTGCACTGTTGTCCCTACACTGCGCCTGTCCCACAGTGCTTCATGCCACTCGGTCAGTACTAGCAGAGTTGTCACTGCGTGGGGCTCGGATACCGGTGTACGATTTGCTGTTTCATTTACAACGCGAAGGAAAAAACCGGAGGAAGGACGCCACCAAGGAGTCTGCGGCTTCAAAATGACAGGGAAGAACACAGCGACATCTGAGGTGCCAACATTCTGCCATATGGAAGAAGGTAAGGAACGGGTGTGTCTGTGCGCACGTGGGCGCATACATGTGAATGTGTGTGTGCCTGTGTGCGTGCGGGCAGGCATGTACGTGGCTGTCTGTGTGTGCCTTCCTGTGTCTGTACCTGTCTGTCTCTCTTTCATAGAAGAAAGATGTTCTACTGATACACTGGATATTAATCGTTTAAATTTCTTCCTCCCAACTAAATACCTTACACAGTGACACAACAGCCAAATCAGAGGTTGGGGAAGGAAGGGAAGTCTGTTGCACAGATTTTAGGAGCCCCCCCACCGTACAAACCTGACGCCAAAGAGCAGCAAGCCCCGGAAAACTCAATGGCAAAGTGGATTGGGCGTTCTGGCCTGCCTGCAAGGACCATTGAGGATGAAGACTTTGTGGATATGATGAAACAAGCCGATATATGTTAAAAAGAGAATCAGTGTGTGGAGAAGTTCTATTCCTACAGTGTTATATAAATAAAATAGAGAAAAGGAGAAGCTGTCTGAAGAATTTTTATTCTGTACAGTGTGATATATATGTTTAAAAAAGCAGAGTGTAGAGAAGTTATATTATTTACAGTGTTGACTAAATGACTAAAATGACAAAAATGAGACTAAGACTAAAACAAAATCGGGAAGGCAATGACTAAATATGACTAAGACTTAAATAGATTTTTGTCGTTGTGACTAAGACTAAATAAAAAAAGCTGGATTGTTTTTTTTTACTTTTTTGGAACAACTGTGACCTTGATGACTGAGAACCTTCACCAACATGATCAAAGTTCACAACCTTCCCGCCACAGCCTGCTGGTGAATGACAAAGTGTCGTATATATTGTCATTTGGCAACAGTTAACGTGCCAGCTTTATTCTACCATTATCAAGATCTACAGGGATGGTTTTAAATCGACTGGTTAGCGACCACTGCTTTAGGCTAACTGCTGGAGATGGAAGGAGGAGAGAGGACAATCAGAGACGCATGCCGGGCAGCAGCTGGCCGGTGTGCTGGACCTAGGACCACAAAACAGTCCTTTCTAGAGCTAAATTAAAGCGACTTATTAAAAAGCTACCAACAAACCCCTTAAAAGCAATTCCATCTTCTGCCTTTGTCTACATTATTTTCATCATTATCTTTCATTTTAAGTGTTTAATACAAGATACTTTCTCATCTCCTAATTTTTACTTTATATTTCATCATTAAATATCTCCCAGATCTCCTCATCATCATCATTCAGAGCTGCTCGTCCTCTAGAAAGACTGTCACTGCAGCCAACTGGTTGCCGTGGTAATTCCTCTTCGACATCTGCTTCTCCTTAGTTATCTTCTGCTACCTATGACCCTCGTGAGGAAGCTTGGTTCTGCCCCTCTAGGCTCTCCGTTCTCTCTGATGCTGGTGAGACCAGTCGGCGGCGCTAACCTACCTGCTGTCGGGTTGCGTGCACGCCCTCCATGCATCCATCTCCACCGACAGCTGCTCGATCTTCAGAGGGACGCAGACCTCTCTCCTCTTCAGCAGCTGGCTGAGAGACAGATAGGAAAAGCTTTCAATAAAACCAGAAACCTAAACATGTTGCCTGCTTCCTGATTACCACCTTCAGGAGATGTTTATCAAGCTACATCCCTGAAAACGTCAAACAACTGAAAAAAACGGCCACAGTTTAAACAATGACGTCTTTCATGTGTTTCTCCTGGTTGCAGAGCGGCAACGGCTGTATTTATACATATTGATATCCTGCTCCATTCTGCCCTAACTCATGAACAGGACCCCAAGATACTTGAACTCCTCAACTTGAGACGGGAACTATGGCATTGGACTTGAAGGAACTGATTCTCATCCCGTCCGCTTCACACTCGGCTGCAAATCCCCCAAATGCATGCTGTAGGTTTGGAGCGAATCAGCATTAACACATCAGATCAACAAACTGTCCTTGGCTGCACCGAGAAATCCTCTCCATGAAGGTTATGAACAGGACCGGTGACAGAGGGCAGCCCTGTCAAGAGTCTAGAACACACCGAATTCGATTTGGCGTCTGATCAGACAGAAAATCGCGTCGGACAAGGTGGTGGTGTTTAGCTCTCATTGAAAGTCAATGGGGATGATCACACCGACACGATTTTATGCAAGGGGGCTGCGTAGCTCCGACTGAGATAGACCCCAGGTCGATTTTAGCTGCTTTCTTGATCATCTCTTTACAAAACAAGCATAAAAAATAAGGTTTCAGGATGTTCACACAAACCATTCCCACAAACCTCTGCAGTAACATCCAAACAACCCTTCCAAGCATCTCTGAACTAACAGCAGGAGTTTTTTTTTTTTTCTTCATTTTAAACTGCCATAAGGCAGACATGGGCAATGTGGAGTCAACAAGTCATCTCCATGTCATGTATTTAATCTACCCAGCCAATTAACCAGGTGAGTCCAATCTGCACAGGTTAATTCACGGTGAAGATTGGACTCACCTGCTTCACCAACACGTGACAAAACTGATTTATGAGAAGAAAACTATTTAATGAGGGCTGTGGGAAGAAGAGCGGCCATTTTTGTTTTCTGTTTCTTTGTTACATTGCTGGTAACTGGAGGGAGGCTGAGGCCCAGAGTATCTTGTATATGTTTAGTTTCTTTTGCACCCTGTTTTGAGTTTTTGAGCACAATAAATCACCAACACCGGTAACCCGACTGAGCCTGGATTCTTGGAGGCCAAAGAACTCCGTCACAGTGACCAAAATCATCACTGTTACTGTTATTATATAGTAAATTAAATCATTACTGTTAAATTGTATGTATTGTCCAATTGTTTATTTAAATTCTTATTCTGGATTAGTTGGAGACATACACTAGGCTATATCAGCCCCACCAAAAATATTTTTCACGAGCCGCCACTGGTTTGTAGTAGTGTCATTAAGCTACTCACATCATCTAAAAATACACTGAATTTCAAAACCTTTGTTATCATTTCCATTTATAGCTTGAATCAAGATTTAGTTTTGAAGAAAGACTCATGACAGAACATCTAGTTTAAAAGAAAAGTCCGCTCATATTCAGAATTCAAACTTCTAAAAGTACTTTAAATATGAAATTATTCCATACTGTTAAATAAATAATACAGGTTTTTAATTAAGAGTAATTTTCAATTTAATGTGCTTTACTGGAGACATCCATGTTGGTCAAAGAACAATACTGCCACCTACTGGTTTGTGACGTCACGGTGCGGTATCGGCTGTTGATCAAGTCCCAGTGCTGTATCTGGTGTTTGTCACAACGCGCTATTATCCAAGTCATCTTGAAAACATTCTTCTTCCAAATATTGGCTACAGATTACGTGTTTTTTCTCTGTCCACAAATTTGATGGCAAATCCTCCCTCTTCAAGTTGGCAATCCGACGACGAACCCGTCCGTGGAGGATCAGGAATCGAAAAGGGGAAATAAGTCTTTTTTTTTTCCACTTTTACCCGATGTATTCCATCATCCAACTGCCATGCACATGGGCATTGTCAGTTTCACTATAGCTCTGGTGAATTTCAATGGTGAAGTCCTCTGGAAATCTTCAATAATTGTTGTTGATTGCAGATGTGTCTAGTAGTTCCCATTGATTTTGCCTGTAAAGCGGGGATAATGGCGATAGGCTTACCGCACCGTGATGTCACTGCTGGAAGATGGCAGGAGTGAAGTGTTTCCCGAACTCAGTGAAGACGACCAAAATGATTGTTTTTATTTTTTTACTGATTAACCCTAAATTCATTAAATCACCGCGAACGTATTAGTTTTAGGTATAGATAATGATCCACTGATCATTCCTTGCTGACCGGACTTTCCTTTAAAACTAAACACATTCTGCATGATGATAATTAATAAAATAAAATATTGAAGAATAAAGTCTGGCTGTTCAATACAGGCAGTTAGTCAGTAATCCCAATTCAAACATCAATAATTAACTAATTGAATGAAATATATATTCTTTTCATTGTATTTCTATTATAAATTAATTGGATTATGTACTAATCTAAACATGAGCGTCTCCAGTGGATCTGAGCTCTCTGCAGATTTACACAAGATGCATAAGATGCCTGAAAACATGGAGGTAAGGGAAAAGCCTTTTTGTGGGTTTAAAGGTGCTGGAAGTCTACCTGGTGTATTCATAGAGAGCAGGAACGATGCTGCAGTAGTTTCTTCTGATGGCGAGCAGAGCTCCGATGTAACCACACAGGATCAACAGCTCGCTGCGCGCTCTGCAGGGACAAACACACTTTTATCACTTCAAACACTTAATATAAAGCTGTTCATTAACAGGTGATAGTTAAATTCTCTATAGTCTCAAAGCTGTCGGCTTTAAAGCTTTCCTGATATCCAAACTCATTTCAAATATTTGCAGAATTTCCCACATTAACCCACACTAACCCACAACTCCAGTTCAATCCAGTTAATCCATTACTAAATTAGCTGACAATTATTACAATAATCAATTAAACATGAAGAAGAATTTGCGAACTTGTGTTGATTAGGCCTCAAAATAATGAAATAAAAAAAATAAAAAAATGCAATAGTAAAATAAAAAAAGTTAAAATAATTTCCCAAAATATTCCTAAGTAATGTATAAATTCCGCAAAAGTATTTTTTTAATCTCTCTCTCCTGCGGCCATGAGTAAATATGTTCTAATGCTGAAACAGGAGTCCAACTGTGTTCTCACTCTGTCATCTTGGCCATGACGAGGCGCTCGGTCCGAATGTAGCTCATCAGATCCAGGATTGGATGAACGGCATCCACCGTCCAATCAGATCCAGACAGCTGCTCTGATCAGCAGGAACATTAGAGATGGACTTTTAGAAAGGAGACAGGACAGAAATCCATCATATAATCAAACGCTGTCGGTACCTTTGACATAACCGATGCCTATCGTCAGGGCGTCTTCAGGTTCAGAGCTGAGCAGGTGGAACTTAACCGCAGAGATGAGATCTCCGCTGCTCACTGCTTCTTCTGCCAGAGTCTTACATTCATCCATGGGAGGAAGACCACACTTTAACAACAACAAAAAATCAGTTTTAATATGGTCAGGTCTAGAAATGGCAGTTTATCGTGTTGTTTGTGGTGAAAAATGTCTCAATAAATTCTAGGTAGAAATGAATGGAATTGTGAGGTTTATTTAAAAAAAAAAGATACTTTTATTAAACATTGAACTTAACAGCGTGAAGACTTTTTCTGTAAATCAAAGGAGGGCCTAGGAAGAAAAGTTTGACAACCACAGCAATAAGTGCCTGTAATGTCAGGTCATTCATTTATTCCATGAGGACATCAATAAATACTAAGAAACTAGGGATGCACGATATTGGGATTTTGGCCGATATCCGATATGCCGATATTTTAAAACTCATGTAGCCGATGTCATTGTCATTGAAAATAGCAGTTTTGTTATCCATTTCTGACACTTTGAAAAATAATATACTCAAATATATTTTCATATGCTGATGTCAAAATGATTTTTAAAAACGCGGTATTGATCTACTTTACTTTCAAAATCTCGTGAAATTTCATCGTTCTGTTACAAACTCTCGTGATATTTTGCAAATTCTTGTGAGATTTTGTTAGTAAAATCGATCGATGCCGCGTCAATATATCAACATATAAAAATATGGCAAAATTTCGTGAATTTTCGGGGGATTTCGTAGCATAACGATGACATATAGCAATATTTCATTAGTAAAAGAGATTGATATGGTGTTTTTAAATGGCAATATATCAGCATATGAAGATATTGTGATATTTTAATGTATCAATATTTTTTCCCTCGTCTTTAGAAGTTTTTAAGTCTGTAAAAAAGAAGTTTTTGAGGAAGAAGAAGAAGTAGTATTTTTTTTTTTTTTTTTTAGACTTTAGAAACTCAGAAGCTGATCAAATATCGGGTTTAATATCGGTGGGGTGGCCGATGTCCGATATTCAGTTTTAAGGCCGATACCGATAGGGGGCCGATTATATCGTGCATCCCTATAAGAAACAATAAAATACAGATAATATGTGCAGTTTAATTATAAAAATCTTCCTTTATTGTGTAACCCATGAACTGAAGAAGCCTATTTGAACACATATGTGTTTTTTAAGAGCTATGTTTATGCTTCGTGGTGCTTTCATTGCAGCTGCATGCATTTAGAGTCTTAGTGTTCAAATTGGCAGAAACAAGTTTGACCTTTTTATCATCGTCTGTATCCAAATTCAAATAGAACCACTAAATATGGTGAGTCCATATGTTCTGTTTCACTTGAAGTGTGTGTCTAAGTGACCCACCCTCTCGTGCAGTTGGTTGATTTCCGCAGAGCTTCCTGGGTAAAATGTACACAGCTTAGCCAGTAAAATATGGTTGTCGGGAATCATCTGCAGCAGGTCAACTGAAAGCTCCCTGCGTGTGAAAAGAGGAAGTTTTCACAGTTTTAATCCCTTTTAGTGATCTGCAGATCATCAAACATTTTTGTGATTTAGCTCTAGAGTGATGTGTGGTAGTAGCAGGGTTGGTTTGGAGCTCTACCATGTTGAGGGGGTCATGTACTTCCTCGCCAACAGTTCAAGGCAATAAGCCGTGCTCTGACTGGCAGCCTCTCCCAGGACGAGTCCAACAAATGCAGCCAACTCCAGCTCGTTTCCACGGATCAGGTTGACCATGGCCTCCTGGAGAACACAGCTCACATTTCAGAAACCACTGAATCCTCTAAGTGGAAGGAGTTTTAGGCTACATTCACACTGCAGATAATTTTTGCCCTGAAGTGACTCTGGGGAGATTCTTCCTCGCTGTGTGAACAGAACAAGTCCCATAGAATAGGCCTTTTTCCAATCTGATCTTGGCCACGTTTGTAGGTGGTTTCAAATACGATGCCGGTCCGATCTTTTGGACAGCCAGGTGACCTATACTGGAATTAGTATGAGGATGATGTCACTCTGTACTGACAGCGCGGAACAAAAACAATGACAACAAACATGGAGGATAGCAAAGAGGGACGTGGACAATGGAGGGATGATAAAATTCTGGAATTAATAATTATTTTGGCCGGTACAACGATCCAAAAGGAACATAAGGGGTTATACCCTGACAGGTCAATTGGCTAAGAAGCTGCACCAACACATTTCTCCTCAAGCCCCTGTCCCACCTTGACGATTCAGACCAGCCTACGCCTGATGTATAAAAAATCAGGCAAAAACGCGGACATAAGTTGGATAAGTTATGGGTACGTTTTATGTAAGTTATGAGCACGCTGAAGCACGCTGGCACATGTCAACATACGGCGAGAAATTTTGCGCATGCTTAAAACTTCCCGCCGTATGCCAGCGTGTGCTCATAAGTGGGGCATAAGTTAGAGGTAAGGTATATGATCATTGGCATTCGTTAAGTATAAGTTACTCATAAGTCGTAGTGTTTAGCTTATCCAAAACCTATGAGCAACTCGTGCATAACTTATGCGTAACTTATCAAGAACTTATCTCCAACGTATATCAACATATCTGACGCTTTCAAGGCAACCGCTGAACGTGTTTCTAACTGACAGCTACTGTTTAATGGCGTATTGGCAGCGTTTTGGTATAAAAGGGGGTTCACAGGAGGAAATTGTCTGTACTCCTCCAGACTTCTTCCCCATCATAGGGTTAGCGGGAAGTGAGTGTGATGTCTCCTATCCATCTGGAAACCTTCCGTAGAAGTAATTTTGGGAAGGGGCGAAAATACTGGTTAGCTGATTGGCCTATGTTGGTGATAGACGGGCCAAATAAACCAATCAGATCAACGAAGCATATGACATAACAGAGCGACGACGAAGAGGAGCCAATTGATAGATCAAACTCTTGCCGAAACCAGTCGGGAGAAGAGCAAAAACATCTTTTCCTCTGAGAAAAGCCTCCAGAGCAGTGTTTTGCTCTTCTTTCAGTGAAGAAATACTCTGTAATTCCGATAAAACTTGCTCGATAGCCACGCTAACGCTAGTTTCATCGGCTGAAGCCGCCATGTTCTTTAGACTGAACTGTCGCGCTTCTCGTTGCGTTACACCTCAACCCGCCTCAAAGCCAACGCTGATTGGACGTTCGTTTGGTGAACGGCTCCAAATTTTTCTTCAACGGAGAGTCTCCAGACTGATTAGCGAGTGAAATCTTGAAAGCTCGCGAGATCAGGATGGTCTCACGAGGCTACTCTGGATCTGCTGTGACTGCAAACCTTCTTTCTTTCCGTCTTTCTCGGGTGGTAAACAGCAGCTAGGTTAATATCACAATCAAAGAAATCTATTTATGCAGGCTGGGCGTAGGGTTTGTCGCGGTTGAGGAATTTCCCCTGCGATTTTTCAAGGAGGCTAAATATTGCAATATGCAATATTATTGAACCATCTTTTTTTTTCTTTATTTTTATCTATTTATTTCGCAAATGTGTTTTCGACACTTTATTGAACACTGATCAAAGGGCAGTAATGGCACATATATGCCTCATTTCTCTGACTGAACTTAACAAGATTCAGAAGAAGGCAGAACTTTTAAAGGCAAATTTGACTGCAGAATCTTTCATTAAAAAAAAAGTGCCCGTTTTGTTATTTTTTTTTTTACTTAAGTGCGCCTATACAAAATTAAATGATAACACGCACCATAATTCTTAATTCACACACAAACAAATGACGGCAATATAAAGCTCAGCCATGTCCTTGTGGCTGGCACCGACATGAGCCGCTGCACGACTCTGTGTGGCAGGAGGCGGCGGTAGTCGCGCCGTAACAGCTGGGTGGCAGCTAGTCAAATGAGCCCTTACATTCGTTGTGTTTCCACGTTTTACTTAAACAGTTTTGCCGCAGATTTTTACAAATTGCCTCATTTAAATTGTCAGGCTCCCCCTTTTTATTTGGTTGAAAACCGAAATGCTCCCAAAGGGGCGAATAGGGCTGGGTATTGTTAAAAAAATTTCGGTTCCGGTACCAATACCGATACCTTCACTTCGATACCGGTTCCTGAACGATACTTTTTTCGATACCAGTTTTATAATATCAATTCGAAAAAAAAGAAAATTACACAACATAAAAAAGTACAAATCTTGAGTTTTATTTTAAGCTATGTTTTTCCATTTACATTTTTCCTCTTACATAAAAAAATAAATAATTCAGTGTCTAATATTCACTGTTACATTGTGAGGACCTTTTTACTTAGCAGTTTTCCTTTAGAAAAATTACCATGTCTGACAAACAAGCCCGTTGAATGGGATCCTACTGACAGCGCACCGCTGGTATGGGGGGGGGTCTGAGCGGCTCCGACAGAAATATTGAAGGCAGGATGAACTGACTGCACTGATTACGTTTTCAGGTGGATTTTCCCACTTAAAAACATAATAAAACTACTTTATTCCCACTGATCACAGCAAATATAGCTGCAAGGCAAATAAAGGATAGAGTAGCTCCGCCCAACGCGCGTCTGACCCACTTTGCGACCGCGCAGCCAGAGCAGCAAAGCTTCTTCAGCAGCGCGTCAGAAGCTGGTACAAGCAGCAAAAATGAAGCAGCAGACGAGATTTTGCTGCGTCCAGTTTGAAAGCAGCATGATTCACTCCGCTCTGGCTTTGCTCTGCCCACGGGCTGCTGAGAGGAGGATGGTCGCGCTGGCTGCGGTCCGCTCTTCTTGCAGTCAAACACAGAGCGACTTTCTGCTCTTAAATTATTTCCGTGCACGATGTATTGCATTGTGCACTATTAGCATCAGTCTTAATAAAGTGAAGCCGCACTTTTGACCTGGGGGGCATTTTAAAGGGGTTCCGCGACGCTGCAACCAGTTCACAATAGATACACATGAACCCTGGCTGTAGGCGTGACCACCTGTGTATTTTTCCTGGATGACGCAATCACCTTAAGTGTTCCAGCCAATCACCGAAACTTGGTACCGAAAGACGAGGCATGTTTCGATACTCTGTAGAACCGAAGCATTTCGGTCGGTACCATAAAAGTACCGAAGTTCGGTACCCAGCCCTAGGGGCGAAGTAACATTTGGTTTTGATATTAGTGCAGCTGCCATTGTATCCTTCTCAGCTGTTGTCCCAAGATGCGGTGATGGCGGTGGCTGGTTTTGTAGCGCGTTGAGCTTCTTGATATTGCGATATATTTCATTTGTGCGGTTATTGTGACAGCCCTAGCCGGGCGCCTTTGGGCGCATCGCTGTGCCCCTCAGGACATTGGCTTGTGCATCAATTCATTGGCATTACACGATCGTGCGTTATGCATAAGTTAGGCTGTCGTTGGACATAAGTTCTGGACTAGTTATAAATACGCTATGTATACGCCCAGAATTGAAAAAAAAATACATAGAAAGTTTACCATATGCCAGCATTTTAAGAGATTCTGGTATGTCAAGGCATGTCAGCGCCCTCGGAGATGTCTCTGCCAGTGCTTCACAGAAATATGTAATTAAAAGTTTAGCCCTCTTTCTCCTGTGGTCTGCTGTATCATCCGGCTACTTCCACAGTTTAACAGCTTTAAAGCCATCCATAGATGCAGACTTCTGACACGTCTTTTTTTTGTTTTTCTGAGCATGTGGGTCACCTCACAGACACAATCTGATATGGTCATGTGAACTGCCTCACAGAATAAAAAATAAAAAATAAATCAGAATTGAGCATTAGGACCTGCAGTGTAAACGTAGCCTTTGATGAGCAAGATGCAAACCTGGATGTTGTCGACAGCCAGGTGGCAGCATGCAGCCAGGACCGAGCATCCGTCCTGGAAATACCAATCTGCAAGTCCCCTACAAACGATATGAAGGAGGCTGAAAGAAACAAGAGATCGTAGCTATAGATTAAAAAGCTCAAACCTCTGATTCTGTCAGAAATGTGATCACTTAACATCTTTGTAGGTTCACTTCAATAACAGTGGAGTGTTTGGAGCTGGAGTCTGTCGGCTGATCGGATTTAACCTTTCTGGATTCTATTGTAAATTTTGCTTAGAAAAACTTAAATATGATTAGGTGGGGACTGAGATCAACATCCGGTTAGCTGAACAGATCTAAGCTAAAACAAAATAAACAACAACAAAAAAGACATTTAAACTGCTAAACTTAAATCAATATAATACAAGCTTTTGTAATGAAAGCTAAGGTAGGCTTAAGGCTGAATGTTAGTTTAAAGTCAAAGAGAGATCCATCATCCTTCAGCTGATCCCCCTAGCTTCTACAAAAGTGTCAGTGTTAATAGATGCTGATCACAAAAAAGCTAAAGATCTCATTAAAACTAGTTTCACTATTTTATTCCTGGCATTAAGCAGCTCTTGTGACTTAAACCAGGTGACAAAATGCACTTTGAGAAACCTTGGGAGTTTTAATTGATGAGGAATTGTCTCTGGAGCAGCACACAAAACAACTGATAAAACACAGTTTCTTTCAACTTCGTAACATCACAAAACTCAGAAATGTAGTTTCTGAAAATGACCTTGAGATGCTGATCCATGCATTTCTGTCATCACGTTTGGACTACTGCAATATCCTGTTCACTTGTCTGAACAAAAAAGGCTTAGCTCGATTGCAGCTAGAGCAAAATTCTGCAGCAAGGATCTTGACATGCACAACCAGAGGAACCTAGCCTTGTGAGACCATCCTGATCTCGCGAGCTTTCAAGATTTCACTCGCTAATCAGTCTGGAGACTCTCCGTTGAAGAAAATTTGGAGCAGTTCACCAAACGAACGCCCAATCAGCGTTGGCTTTGAGGCAGGTTGAAGTGTGACGCAACGAGAAGCGTGACAGTTCAGTCTAAAGAACATGGCGGCTTCAGCCGATGAAACTAGCGTTAGCGTGGCTATCGAACAAGTTTTATCGGAATTACAGAGTATTTCTTCACTGAAAGAAGAGCAAAACACTGCTCTGGAGGCTTTTCTCAAAGGAAAAGATGTTTTTGCTCTTCTCCCGACTAGCCTGGCTGTTAGTACGTCATATGCTTCGTTGATCTGATTGGTTTATTTGGCCCGTCTATCACCAACATAGGCCAATCAGCTAACCAGTATTTTCGCCCCTTCCCAAATTTACTTCTCGGAAGGTTTCCAGATGGATATGCAGAGCAAATCCATCTGGCGGAGTCAGGTTAAGAGGAACCCACATGACTCCTGTCCTCAAAGTTCTATACTGGCTTCCAATTGAATAAGGCATAAACTTTAAAATCTTGGTCCTGACCTTTAGAGCCCTGCACGGACAGGCTCCCTCTTAAATTTGCGATCTGGATTAAGACTCTCTTTTCTGCTTGCAGAGAGAACTTGTTAATGGCCCCTGGACGAGAGGAGACAGGTCTTTCCAAGCTGCCGCACACAGACTGTGGAATGCTTTGCACTTAGTAAACTCCATGGATAATTTTACAGGGGAACACCAGTTTTTTTACATTGGGCCCTTGATTTTACGTTATTACATCATGTTCTGCTCACCTATATGAGTCGTGTGTCATTTGGAGCTGTTCTGAAGATATTCCGTTAGGTTATATCCAAGTAACGTCTTCCTACAGGCAACGACTTGAAGGCAAAAACTAAATTGTTCATAATTTATTCTTTATGGAATGCCAGCATTCACTGTCCCCCATACATGAGCCTTTATATTTTTTATATTTATATATATTTTTTTAAACAAAGCGGAGTGTGTATGACATCATCCGCGCAACATATTCTCATTATCAGTTCGTATGAAATCGTACAAAAAGTTATGCACAGTATTTCGTACGTTTTTGAAGTTTTTCCTCGAAAATACAGATCAGTGCGCATGCGCAGCCAGACAGACGAAAAAAGCAGATCCGCGGACGGATGTAAAACTGCGAAAAACAGTGCGATAATTACTTCTTCATGTCTCTAACTAGGTTGCTTGCTGTTTTGTATCTTAGGGTTAGGGTCAGGGTCAGGGTTAGGGTTAATTGTATGTTAAATTCTATGTTATTTAATGTTGCATAAGATGCGCATGCGCAAGGATATCTTGTCTCGAGGCAAGACGTAAAAATACGACGAAATGCAAGGAAAAAAACGTCAAAAACGTACGAAATTACTGTGCATAACTTTTCGTACGTTTCATACGAACTGATAATGAGAATACACTGATCCGCGTGCAGGCTACCATTCATTTATTCTGTCCGCTGAACTGCTGCTAGTTTTCCTCACATGCCTGGAAGATGTCTAGTGCTGCTACCACAGATGATCTCGCTCTCCAAATGGAATTGAACGATTCAGATTAGCTAGAACGAATAGAAGGGGTAAAGCGTATCCGCCTGTGGCCCTGGCTGCCTGTCACAACTCCAGTCCGGCGCGCGGATGACGTCATACACGCTCCACTTTAAAAAAATATATATATAACCGCGGATGTCTGGGGGACAGTGATTCGCCTACATGTTATGAATGCTGGCGTACCATAAAGAATAAATTATGAACAGTTTAGTTTGTGCCTTCAATTCCTTGCCCATAGGAAGACGTTACTTAGATATAACAAAACCGAATATCTTCAGAACAGCTCCAAATGACACAAAACTAATATGGGTGAGTAGAACATGATGTAATAACATAAAATCAAGGGCCCAATGTAAAAAAAAAACGGTGTTCACCTTTAAAGAACTAAAAAAATTCTGTTAGATTCCTTTTATGAAGGGCTGCTATGATTTTATTTATTATTTATGTATGTTAGATGGTACTGTATGCTGGTGAAGATTCTCAGTCATCCAGAGTCATTAAACAGAGCGGGTGGACTCAGATTTCAGCTTTCACCTAAAAATAAGCGATTGAGTTGATACCTTCCTGCTATCGTCACAAACCCCACACCATTTCAGGGGAACAGAACACTTTGCCTATTCAGCCAGGCCAACAATTCCCTTTAACGACCCCCCTTTTAGAGACATAGGGCCGGATCTATCAAAAGTTTGCGTGTATAAAAACGTGAGCTATTTCACTGCGCACGCTAAAAAATGTACAAACTGATCTATCAACAGCGTGCTAAAAGGATTTGGTCTTTAAAACGTGCCAAATAGCGCCTCTTATCCATTTAGTACTTTTTCTGCAATGAATATGCAATATGGGGCGTTTACACGCAAAAGTGCGTCTTGTGGGAGGAGAACATGTAAATATATTAATTTAGCACTTGCAAAGTGATTTATCAAACCTGAAAGCAATTTTGCTAACGGTATCTGACTCTATATTTAACACGTTTCAAAAGAAGGTGCAAATGGTCTGTATGCGTAATTGCGCACACATGGCAGCGGTTATTGTCGCAGGAAGGAGACATCGAAATGAAGCAAGGAGACGCAGAGAAGGCATTTTTTCACTCCGTGTGAATATTTTTGGAATTAACGAGGAAACGATCATCAAAACATATCGTTTATCCTGCATTGCCGTTTTGGAGCTGTTGGGGGAACTCCGAATGGATTTTAAGCCAGCCACAAGGAGGACCCACGCAATACCAGATATCACAAAACTCCTTGCAACGTTGGATCTCCCAATCTAGTTTTTCAGAAGTGCTGTCTGACGTTCTAAATGCCATGTCGCCCTGACGCCCTAACGGAGAAACCAGACCTCTCCCCTGCGCCTGTGGAGCAACATGCCAATGCTGCAGGGATGCGTACGCGCAGTAATCTCATCCACAGTCACTTGTGAGCCATTTGTTTTGTGCATTTTTCTACAGGCCGATACAAAACACCAGTTTTTTTTTTTTTTTTTTTTTACTGCAGTGAAGTAGAAATTCAGCCACATACCACCTTAGGTAATAAAGGTTGCCAAAGTTTTTTCTTTATATATATATATATAGATATAGATATATATCTATATATATATTTTTTTTTGTTGGGGGTCACTGTAAGATTTAAATTTCTTAATGCACTAGTTTGTACAAACTACAAACTACTTTGCCGCAAACCACAAAACGCGCAAAAACATCATTTAAATAGGGCGTCTCCAACAGTTTTGCACCTGCCACCAGTTACGCAATCACTCTTGTTCAATCACCCGCAAACCATGGTTCAGCCCCTTGCGCAAAATTCCAGTTTGCGAGCGCAAATTACTGCACGCAAAATTGGATCGTGATAAATCCGGCCCATAGACAGGTTTCGGGTATTGCAGGCTAACATAGAAACAAAACAACCCCCAACCCAAAGGGGCGGACCCGTTCTTCAGGTTCAATTTGCATGTTTTCTAAGCCAAAACAATACTCCACTCTATTAAGCCTTGATCTCAACGCCATTTCTGACATTTTGAATTGAAAAAGCTTCCTGGATGGAAACCAAATATCTTCATACTTAGAAACAAAGTCCAGTGGATTGTTTTTTTTTACTTTTTTTGGAATTTATAGGATGTTATAGGAGCACTTTGTGAAGCTTGTCTGAGAAAGCTGCTAAATAAATAAATAAACCTTACTTACAGTTCATCCCTTGAATTAATGTGTTATTATGCCTAAATTAGCCATATATCAGAGAACTTACTTGACATAAACCAAAGTAATCAATTTTTATTAGTATCTGCTTATTTCCAAGGGATCCTTAGAAATAAGCAGACACAAAAACTGTGTATGAAGAACCTCAAGTCCAAAGATAAACCTTTAAAGACCTCCAGTAAGTGTAGAGAACCATGGGCCGGGATCAGTTTAGCAGACTATAAAGACTGGATCATAGGAGGGAGAAGGATCAGGACTTGAAGATGCAGCTGTTTGTCTTTAATCTAATACCAATCCTATTAAAGAAGGTCCTCATAAATGCAGTTTTCCAGTTAGTTTTTTTTCATTTAACACTTTTTAAAACCGTTTCGTTGGCGTTCAGCTGGAACTTCCTGGGAAAATGTTTTTCCCACCGATTGTTTTTTTGTTTCTGACCTGCTTCTGTTTTTTTCAGAAACTTTCTAGAAACAAATTAAACAAAGAAGGAAACTGCAGACCGACGTTTTTACCTTTGGTACTGCTGTCTGTTGTCCACGTCGTTGGCTGTGTGGTTAATGGAGGAAGTCGGCGGTGGACGGATGTTCCCTTCGCACGCACCCTGAAATCAGTCGATAGTTAGAGCTGTTATATAGACGCCTGTATAGCCAAAGCGCCTGGTTTACCCCCTGTTACCTGTGCGATCAGTAAGGCTTCCAGCAGCTGCCCTCTGCTGGTGAAGAAGCTCACGAGTTTTTTAATGTCCCCGGTGGCGACGCAGTACGGGATGGCGTCGTCGTTATCCTCGGCCATCAGCTGATCGGCTCGTCTGCAACACCACAAATCTTTCCCGTCATTCCTCGTTGGACCCAAATGGACTGAATGAGAAACTGTGGCTCTGGTGAAAGTTTACCTCTGCATGAGTTTCTTCCAGTACTTCATGGAGACTCCGGGTGCCACAGATAAGGCTTTCTCCCACTGAAACAGACGGCAGCAGCTGTGAAGCACATCTGAACCACAATAACCGATGGTCTAGTATACTGGGATCTGAGCCTCACCTCTCCCAGTTCCACCATCAGCTCACAGTATCTCTGGATCTGGCCCAGTCTCAGATGGATCTGCGCTGCTTCTTTCAGACGCTCCTCTTTACTGGGAGCTCCGATGCCTCCTCCAAACTTGGACATCTTAACAATCGTCAGCTCCTGAGCTTCAGACTGAAGCAACCAAAAAGTTTCATTATTACACTTTTCTGTACTGAAAAAAAAACAACCCTACCGACTGTCAGGATTTAAAAAACAAAATTTTAACTGCTTTAATATCACTGCTTTGACTTCACTAAGTTTTTTTAGTTTGTTTTTTCTCCCTGTAAGGCAAGGCAATTTTATTTGTGTAGCACAATTCAGTTTATAGACAATTTTAAGTGTTTTACATGGATTAGATAATAAAATAGAAGAAAAAAAAAACAAAAAAAATTGTAAAAAAAAAAAAACTTGGACCACAAAAAAGCAGGGATTTATGCTGAATTTTTTAAAGCATGAAAGCAGAGCATTGTTTTAAAGTCTTAAGTACTTATATTTTTACTAAATAAATCGCTGCAGCAACAAGATACATAAAATAAAAAATAAATAATGTCAAATCAAACCAGCCAGCTTATTTATCTAATAAATTGAAATAAACATAAATTGTTTATCATGTTTATATTAAGTAATTTTTAATTACTATAAGATCTTTTGGTAAACAATTTCAAATTCAAGTTTGTAGATAATTTTCTTATTTAAAGCAATAAAATTATCCGATCTGTCAACATCTGTATGTCTATATTATTTTAGGGGCATTATTTCTCTTCATGGTTTTTGGTTTATCCTTCATTTTGGCAACAATTTAATGCATATGTATGTTATTTTGTTTCTCTTTCTTTGATTTCTGTTGCCCTTTGGTTTTATTTGCCTTCATATTTTTGGCTTTTTTAAATATTGTAACTATTTTGTATTTTTTTTTTCAATGTTTTATTTCTGATTGCATATTTTTTTGTTAGTTTTTTTGCTATTTATATTTACTAAAGGTGTTCTTTGCTTGTAATAATAATGGAACAAAATTTATTCCATACATATAGTAAATGCTTTTTCCAAAATGTGAAACTTTTACACTGGACAAAGAAAGTCAAATTTAAAGGTAAAATAAACTTTTTTTGTTTTATTGTGAAGTTAGTCTTAATTTCAAATTTCAAGAGACATTTAAAAAGTCTTATAAAACCTTAAATTTAATTTGTATTAAGCTATGGAAACCCTAGATAATGATATACTTTTAAATAAAAAAAAAACCCTCAATTAACTCTCCATTAACTTATAATAAGTGTATGAAATCTAATTATCTTATTTTAAGGGTAAAAACACTCCCTGCATCAGCAGATACATTTTTTAACGTGCTTAAATTAAGGGAAAATACACTTATCTTTAAAAAAAACTTGTACTATTTTAAGATTAGTTTTGTGTTTAATGTTTGTTTCGCTGCTCAGGAGTGAAATTTGTTCCATTTGTGCTTCTAGCAAAAAAAACATTTTATAAATAGAAAATTAAAAAAAAATATTCAGAAATGAATGTATTTTAAGATTTTTTACTTTTTTACTTTTCTTTTTTTATATGATCCATAAACTTTAATTTGAAAACAATTAGATTTTTACAATTTTTTTTTCTGAAAATAGAAATAAAAAAATAATTAAAAAAAGAAATCTGTAAAAAAAAAAAAATGTTTTAAAGAATTAAAGGCTGAAGCCAATAGTAATTATTTTGACATCAATTTAATGGATCCCTTATATGTGCTGCTAAACAATGAGAACAAATTTTACCACCCTTTCTAATCGGCCTCAATTTAAACCAAAAAATAAACATTTAGTAAATCAAGCTAAACCTTTATAAATTGCAAATGGAGGGAGCGGCAATGCATGATCTTCACGTGATCCAATCCAATTGGCCAATGCCAATACAAGGAATATCAGCTGGCTCATGTATCAATCTACCTTTAACGTGATTGGTTGTCCGTCTGAGTGGGGGTGGAGCTTACAGTCTGCGCTGAGGACAGACTACCTGAGGACTCACCGTTTTAAACTTGACCAGGTGTTTCATGTGCATCACTCCTTTACTGTAGCTGGCAGGAAGCAGCGAGTCGTCCTGACCGTTTATAACGAAGACCAGGTCCCACAGGTTACCGCTGCCCCCTGGAGGCTGAAGGGAACACTACAAATGTTCAAAACATCTAGAAAATTCAGCCAGAAGCTGAAGGGACAGGAAAGAAATTTAATAAATCCCATAGTTTTGACTGCTTTGAATAATTCATAGTTTTTTATCTTGTGCTGACCAGGTTCAGGCATGATGCCAGAGGCTTTCTCCCCCCTCACACATAAGGTTTATGCAGGGACCGTTAATAAATATACAACTTTTAAGAAACTACTAGTACTAACTACTACTGGCTGTTAATTTTAATACAACAAAGTATGTAGCAAATATTTATTATGGTCTCCAAAAGGTTATTATGGCCTCCAAAGGGTGGGTTCGCGCCACCGTGAGGCGTGACCCACTGACACTAAACTAATATCAAATTATTGAACTAGACTTGACAAATTATGCAGACTCACTTTTATCCAACTATAATGCATTTTCATTTTTTAATGAACTTGATTTATTTTTTATTTCTGCAAAATAAACAATGATTACAGAAAGTGCAATACAGCAGAACAAATAGGAGCCCACTGCAAAAAAATCTAAATCTAGATAAGTCATTTTTTCTTAAAATAAGTGCATTTGTTCCTGAATTGAGGAGGTAAAAGAGACATTTTGCCAACGGAACAAGACAATTCACACTTAAAATAAGAAAACACAATTGCAATGACTTATTTCAAGTGCATATTATCTAATTATCTTATTTTAAGAGTAAAATTACTCATTCCATTGGCAAACTATCTCATTTACCTGCTCAAATTAACGGTGAATACACTTAAGACATTTTTTCTTATTTCTAGATCGTTTTTGCAGTGAATTGTCTTTCTACCTTAAAATCAATATTTAACATTAACTTTATGTCACTCAGCTACCACAGTATACATGTCAGATTAAATAAAACTAGTTAAACTTCAGTGATAGCATCAAAGTGCTACTTAATTGTATCTCTTATACTATATCCGTTGGTTTTGCTTTTCTTTTAACATCTTTCTTTGCAGGTGATGAAGCAGACTGAAGATGTTTTATCATCGTCTCCCTTTTATCTCCTCTTTCTTTTATCTTTTCTCCTTTTTCCTGTTTTTTCTTCCTGTTCTACTTATATTTCAGTGTCCATATAATCTGTAATACTCCCTGCATGAATTATAATAAAGCTAATCATATGCATAAAACAAGCGGAACACTATGGAGATAGCTGTACTGCTCCACTTGTGAAAGCAAAATCTGTTGGGCTCTTTTTGGCATCAAGACAATTATTCTTATTGCCACATCGCCAGACAGGACAGTGAAAAAAAAGAAAACTTTTTATAACTGGGTAGCAAGACAAAGTTATTCCTCTTTAGTTTTACTAGGAGCCTGTCCAGAATGTTCCGGGTGACGTTGCAAAAACAGAAAATCCAACCCTAATTCTGTCTCAAAGATCAGATGTGATGAACCTGCTTTAACCAGACGAACAGGCCGCTGCCTCACAAATGTCATTTTGTGTGGATAACTTAGAGCAAAACTTTGCTTTTTTCTTAAGTAGGAGGAGCTTCTATCTGTTGCATACCTGTTTTCACTCATGGCTGTGCGAAGACTTTCCCTGTTACTCGTCTGGAGAACTTAAACTACGGCTCTACGGCAATTCATTTTAACATTAAATAGCTGGACTCTATATTCATTACTTATCTCTGCAGCATTATTTGCTCATTTAAAACTCTTATTCAATATGTCTGTAAAAAAAGATTCTGAGCATTCAAAGCTCAGTTACCAATTATCGTAATTTTGTTTTAGATAGTCAAAACATTTTTTTTTTAAAAGTCCGAACATATTCAGAATTCAAATTTCTGAAAGAACTTTAAAATGAAATTATTTCATACTGTTAAATAAATAATACATGTTTTTAATTAAGAGTAATTTCCATTTGAATAGGTATAGATAATGATACATTGATAATTCCTTGCTGACCAGACTTTTCCTTTAATATAAAAATATAGTATAGTATCTAGATATATTATAGCATAAAGTATAGTATAAGTTTTGATATCTAAAAACAAACAAACTAACTTAAAAACGTAACGTAAACGTACTAAATTCTGGTAATTCTCAATAAAAACTGAACGATAAAGTGTTAATTGGCTTGCCATACCCTCTTTCTCTCACATATAATTAATTTTCCTTTTTTTCATGTGATCAAACATCTAGTTTTAATTGTCTTTGCTAACATTTAACTAAAAATAATGAAAAACATTTTTTAGAGGTTTTTTGATGATAGACTTTAAAATTAGGTTTAAGATTGAGCAGTGATGGGACTAACCTGTTATATTTGCTAATTATTTCTCAAGAAAAGTAACTGAGTTAGTAACTCAGTTAGTTTCTAGCCAAAGTAAGTATGCAGTTACTTTTATGATCTAACATATCAAAACATTTGGAAAACTTTCTTGTTTTTGTAACGTTTAAATGGGTTCAAATATGGAATATGAGGTGTTTTTTTAATTAATAAATTATTAATTAAAAGGATTACATATCTGGAAGCATTGTTGCAATATCATCATGTGATTATGTTTTTTGTTTACAAAACAGAATAATAATAGTTTTAAAACTTTAGATTTTTCCATGTTACCTTTAACTGGCTATGAAATAGCTTTGAACCCGAAAAATTATGCTTTCCAAGCGGTTTAACAAAAATGAAATATACTCTGTAACAGATCACGTTCACATCACTAGAGTTGCCTCTTTAGCATCGCTTCGCTCCTGAACGTGCCTCTACAGAGGGAAAATATCTTCAGGTTTCAGCCACCACTCAGACTGGAAGCGGGAAACCAAGCAGATCCACATCAGTTTGGACTAAAATCCCTTCAGGTATTTTTTTTTTTTTTTTAGTTTCAACAATTTAAACAGTGAGTTTTTCAGTTTTCTCTGAGATTCATCATCTTTAAAACGACAGTGTGTGCAGGGGCTGAAGTTACAGCAAAACACCAGAAGAGGGAGACAGAGAGCTCTGTAGTCCTGAGGAGGTGAGCTCTTTATCTCATTATGCACTGATCCAGAATCAGGTCACTCCGGCAGCACTGTTTAAAGCCTTCAGCAGGAATTTTCAATGAAGTTCTCCAGCAGATTAGCTCTAATTTAGCTTCAGGCTATTTCAAAGAAGATCAGGAAAGCATAGGGTTTAGAATGCAAAGACCACAAAAGGTCAGAAATAAGGAGAACTTGTTAATTGCACCAGTTTTTTTCCCAAAAGAGTCTATCTGCAGACCTGCACTGTCAGGTTGTTGCAGACTTGGACTGTGAGGTGTCCTGCACTGTCAGAACCGGAAGTTTATTCATAGCTTTTCAAAGTAAAAGCAAAATAAAATAAAAGCTAGTTAATCCAAAATATTTTACGTTCCCCTGTTTATTTCCTGGGTCTACATAATTAAAATATCTTTGTCTTTTCATGTGTTTAATGATTTATATATATAAACAGTTCAACTAGGTAAGGTTAAGATACGCAAAAAAATTGTCTAAATTAACTAAGGTCCTTTATAAAGACATCTCTCATGTGTGTTTGCAAGTATTACATTACATATTCTTTATTATTTCAGCATTTTGTGGTATGTTTCTGCTATGTTCTTAACTTTTCTATTGGAGGGAGTGATTTCCAATTTTTTGTGTTCTCACGGTGAATTACTGAATAACTAGATCAAGGTTTATACAGGAATGACTACCTCTAATTTAATGTTTTTTATTGTTCTTAGAAATACTTTTAATGCCATCAACAAGTACCCATCAACAGGCTGCAGCCATGTCCCTAAGTCCTCTTTTTCCAGCCACTTTTGTTGAATTTTGCATTTTCCCATTCTTTAGCTTTTCTCCAACTCGAGCTTCTTTTCTGAACATACTGCTTTAAATTCGAGCAATTCCGCTCAAATATTTCGCAATATAAAATATCTGACGAAATTGTTTTTATAAAGAGTTTTTAAGTAAAGCTCACATTTAATGATTTTTTTTTTTTTAGATTGTTTTAAATGGCACTAGTGGACTTGTTTTTTCAATAGTAGTCTGATAGGAAAAGGGGTATGAGAGAGGGGGGGGGGCATGCAGCAAAGGACCACAGGCCGGATTAGAACCCGGCTTGGCCGCGTCAAGGACTAAGGCCTCCATGCATGGGTCGCGTGCACTAACTATTGCGACACCTGTACGCCCACATTTAATACGTTTTAATGCCAATTAAAGTCTTAATTTAGATAAATAACAATTTAATGACTTAATGATTTTTAATGACCCGCGGAAACCCTTTAGACACATGGAAAAAATAGCCAATAACTCTTGGTTTTTTTCTCCGACACTGGAGAACTTTCTACTGTCTATTTATTTTCCTTGAATTGTTTTTATTGTTGAAACAGCAGATTTTACAGCATGATGTGAAGCACTTAACTTTTGACGAAGTGCCATCACAACTGACACATACGTCTGTAAGAGACACATAATGTAATGAGTAAAAGAAAGTCAGCCAAAAATTATGATAAAAGATGGTTTTCTTGGTCTTTAAATGGGGAAAAGTAGGGAAAAGGCACATTTATGCTCTGTTCGAAAACCTAGGACGCATCCTTAGAAGGCCAGATTCGAAGGCCGATTACGTCATAGCGCGGCGCCGAGGTCTGGTCGGATTCCAAGAGTCCTCGTTATGCGGCCTTAAAATGCGGCCTTCTTTTTCCCCGATTTGAAGGACGGGTCCCGATGTATCCTTGGTTTACCCAGGATTCATTGCGAGACCAAGCAAGCCGTGATCAGAGGAAAGGTTACTTGGCGCCGAACAGTGGTGAAAATTGGAATTTCAGTGTAATATAATACGAGTCAGTGAATAGTTCCGTCTGAAATGAATGAAAATAGTTGTTTTAATGGTTATAGAGTCAGATATGTGGCGGTAATGTTTGGTTTATCTAAAGGTTTTTATCTGTTACTGTGTAAATGGGTTTGGCTGTAATTTAAGGACAGATTCTAATATATCTGCAGGGTGGGGACTATAAATCTGATAGGATTTTTATCTTTTTATTGCTGTTTTGCACAATATGCTTAACTACGTATTTTTTGTTGTTGAATATTAGAGATTTTGCAGATATATTTTTTATACATACATTGTTTAGATTTACTTATATCTTTCTACCCCTTTTATAGAATAGAATAGAAAATCCCTTTATTGTCCCACAATGGGCAAATTTAAAGCAGCAGAAAGATTATTGAAAATGGTTACACAAATGTGGACCTTAGAAAAATGTATAAGAATAACATAATAGGGAAGAGTTAAAATATAAAAAATAAAATACTGTGTTTTAACAATATAAAACTGGAGAATAAATAACCAATATGCAGCTATGGACATTTTTACAGGAATGGATATTTGAAAATAGCAGCAACATCAGAGATGTGCAGAATGACAGCAGCATGTTATTTAACTGAAAGGTTTCTATCATTACATTTGATTTTATTTGTTCCTGCTCCCGGTGGTTGGAACCTTTATTCCACTCTGGATTTTTGTGAGTGTAGTCTTTGTTCACTGTATAATAAAAAAGAAATAAATAAACAGTTTTGAAAACTTCGGTTTTCATTCTTTTCCTGCTTTTTGTGTCCAGTTTCGCAGTTGCTAAGCAACAGAGCATTAAAGTAAAACCCGCCGAAGGGTAGACCTGTTTGAATTCACAGCCAAAACTCTTCCGGTCTCCTTATTTTCAAGGACTTCGAAGGATCCAGTCTAGGTAGACCGCGTCCTTGGAGGATGCAGCCCAGGATTTCGAACAGAGCCTTAGTGTGCACTCACTGTGCAGAAAAAATATATCTTCTTCTTCTAATAAAATCAGGCAGCACTGAGGTTACGTGCCATGCACTATTCCTGCAGGCTTCAAATAAAACGTCCGGAATAAACTTCCGGTCCTGACAGTGCAGGAGACCCCATTGTACAGGTCTGAAATGAAGGGTCCTGACAGTGCAGGTCTCCAGCCAGACAATTTTCATTTTGATAGCAAAAATGTTTACAAATCTAATGAAAACTAAACCGACTCCAGCTGATTAAATCAGAGTAAACTAAGCTAAGAGAGTCACATCAAAGTAATGAAAAAGGAGAAGTCAGAGTGAAATAAGGGATATTTAAGAAAACAGTTGACCCAGAGTGTCTGAAAGTCGCCCAAGATTAAAATGTATCATAATTTTTAGCAATATTTTACACCTAAAGGTTAAAAAGCTGCAGGATTTTTGGACAAAGCAGCCCTTTTTTTTCTCAGTTTCTCTTATATACTGAATAAATTCTTGTAGATTTAGTCTCTCTGAATTATTCAAAAGGAAACTACAGACATGCTGTCATTTCGTAAATAATTAGAGCTTAAGCAGTAAAGAATTTACTACCCTGACCTAATTTATCAATTCCTGTTTTTGTTTTTTATTCAATATTTAATTATCCCTTTTCTCCAAGTTAATAATCAGCACTGAGGAGGACGACAGGTTCACTCACAGAGAAGCACTCAGAAAACCAGCGCAGCTTCCTGGCCCTGGCGTTCCCGCTCAGTTTATCCAGCTCCTGCTTGATGTCTCTGGACACCTTCCCACAGAGTAGCGGAGGCGAGCCGGGGACCATCGCCTTGTCTGCGGAGACAGACGGCCCACCGGGTCAAATCGGCCTCTGGGACCCAGCTCAGCAGATTCGAGGTCAGCTCTCACCTGTGTTTCCGATTATCTTCTCCCACGGCTGCTCAGTCAGGATGTTCAGCAGCAGAGGAGAGATGAGGGGCGTGAGGGACCACAGCCTGACCGTGCTGTCCCTGCTGCAGCTGGCCATGGTGAAGGGACGGCTCTGGTGGCACGTCAAACCTTCTCACACACAGACACACATGAAGGGCTTAGAGAGCCTGATGAAGAATGAGAGCTGGTGGAGACGAAGCTCGGCGAGCTAACAGACAGGAGAAAACACAGCTGTCTCACCATAGACATCGGCTCCGTGGTCGTAGACCGTATCGAGACACGTCCCGTCTCTGGTGTCCCACACTCTGATGGTGTAATCCCAGGAACCTGCAAAATATTTCAAAATTCAACAAGAGGTCTGACACGAAGGAAGGAAGGAAGGAAGGAAGGAAGGAAGGAAGGAAGGAAGGAAGGAAGGAAGGAAGGAAGGAAGGAAGGAAGGAAGGAAGGAAGGAAGGAAGGAAGGAAGGAAGGAAGGAAGGAAGGAAGGAAGGAAGGAAGGAAGGAAGGAAGGAAGGAAGGAAGGAAGGAAGGAAGGAAGTTTGCTTTTATTATCCTGGTGCCTGTAGTTTGCTTTATGCCGCTGCAAACCGCCAAGAGGCGACCGGGCCAGAGGCTGCTGCTGAATGGGATTCCTACTGACAGCGCATCGCCGGTATGTGGGGATCTGAGCTGCTCCAACGGCGAAATAATATTAGAATGCTGGATGAACAGACTGCACTGATAAAGTCTTCATGTACACTTTCTCACTTAAAAACATATTAAAACTACTTTATTCCCACTGATCACAGCAAATATAGCTGCAAGGCAAAGAAAGGATAGAGTAGCTCCGCCCGACACGCGTCAGACCCACTTCCCACCGCACAGCTAAACCATCTTTGTCAGAACTAAACTTGTAGAAGCATCAAAAATGAAGCAGCGCACGCGTTTTTGCTGCTCTTGCTGCGTTTGGTGTGAACGTAGCATTACAGCCGTACATGTTTGAGCCCTCGCCTCGCAACGCTGCCAGCTCTGTTAGCTCTACGCCTGCAGAAGATACAGACGTCCATCCCTGTAAACACTGGGACGGAACTTAATGGGAAAGGAAATGATTCTTATTTCTTATTTCAACCGTCATGTATATTAGTTGCGACATATGGATCAAGATGCTATGACCGAAAAAAAATTGACACATGACCGTTGATATATGATTGGAGAAATGTAGGAGTACAAGCTGACATATAGCTAACTGCCCTGCATAAGATAACGGGGAAAAAAAACAGATTTTTGTTTTTTAAAATAGAAATTTTCTAACTTTTGGGACAATATCGTCTGATAAAGACTACATTTATATACATGTTTAAGCCAGAATGATTTGACATTTAAATATGACTTCCCTACGACTTTAACCCCACACTGCTCCCCGGGCGCCGCACAATGGCAGCCCACTGCTCACCAAGGGTGTGTGTGAAATGAAGCGGTGAATTTCTGTGCTCTGTACTTCTGACAATAAAGTTGAATTCTATTCTACCTTTAGCGTTTTTGTCTCACGCAGACAAAATGAGGAAAGGTTTGAGGTGGTTGAATGTTTTTGCAAAGCAAATGCATAAGGCTAAATTCTCCCAGACATGCTGGTCACAGAAGAATGAATAAAAACCAGCGATTGGTTTTGGGTTCTGTACCTGAGATGAGGAGGTGAGGAACCTCGGTGTTCCACATCAGGCCTCGGACCGGAGCTGTGTGACCGCTCAGCACGTTGATACAAGCATCCTGAGTGTAGTCCCAGATCCGGACCGTGCTGCAATAAAAAAACAAACATTAAAACCGTAGAAACATAAAATAAACTCATCTGGAATCTAACTTCTAGAACCAGGACTCACCCATCATCTGATCCGGAGCACAGAATCCCCTCTCTGAGCGGAGACCATCGAACATGGAAAACCTTGGCCGAGTGTCCTGTGAAAACCTTCAGAGGCTGATCTGAGCTGGTGGCCAGGTAGTAAACCCGCACATTCTTATCCTCACAGCCGGTCGCAATCATGTCCCTGTGGAGGAACAATCGGACCATCAAAAAAACCTGACCTTATGAGGACAGCGTTAACAGCCATTTTAAATCATAAACAGACTATTTTCCACTTTATTTAAAGCTCTACATATTCTCGCTCTGCACCTGCCTTCTGTTTAGCGGCTCTCTTTGCCCTCTTCTGTCCTTATCATCATGTTTTAACCTGCAGTGTTTGACCAAGTTGCTCTGTCTCAAGTGCTTCTTGCTGTTTTCCCACAAATATCACAGCTCTTTGTGGAGCTAAAATAATTCCTTCACTCCTTTTATGATCTACCACTTTGTTTGAGCAGCTTGGCATTACCTGCTGACGCATTCACATTACCAGAAAAACGATTTCCCATTAAAACGCGCATATCTAGGCAATTTTCTTGGCAACATGTACCCTCTAAAATGACAGTAGTAACCAAAGTATTCAAACTTTAATTTAAAAATCTTATTTCGATGTCTAAATTCAGGTATCTGAGGCGTTTAAGTTAAAGTATAGATCTGCACCTCACAGTATGTGCATTAGGGTGGCCATTTCTATAGCACCAAAAATGAGGACATTGTTCGGCATATCAATAAATTGCTATGGTGTACATAAGAATCGGGTAAAGTCACATTTATAGTATAATTCTTAGTAGTTTAAAGAGGATACTCGTGTAGCTGAATAGAACAAAATATTAAAGAAATGTAAAAAAAAAAAAAAAAAGAATCGGTTCCCAGCATTTGTATTTATTTAATACATTGTGGTGTTTCAAAAGTGACCAGCGAGATGAATCTTAAAAGCGCAGAATACCACAAAGCATAAGATGTGTGGACTTAAACGTTAGAAACTCTTTTTAACAAGAAACATTCATAATAAAACAGCCTAATTTATTTTTTTAAACAACAAAATAGATTGTAGAAAACACATTCAAATGCTCTAAAAGTATAGCTTTATTTTGAAGAGCCTTGGGAACTTATCTAAAGTGTCTGTGTGCAGCACACCTGTCTTTATGGTCATCCCTTTAGCTATGGGCGAATCACTGAAATCCACTTTCACGTCACAGTCTACACTTCCGTAGGACTAGTGATGTTTTATAGTATAGTCCACCCAGAGATGGCAAAAGTACTCACTTTCCGTACTTGAGTAAAAGTACAGATACTTGTGTTAAAAAATACTCTGGTAAAAGTGGAAGTACTGATTAAACTTCTTTACTCAAGTAAAAGTACCAAAGTACAGGCTTGTAAATTTACTTAAAGTATAAAAGTAAAAGTAGAAACCACTTTTTTCATGCCGTTGCCTACATTTTTAATGGATGTCTGCCAATAGGACTAGATCTCCGTTGTGTTCATTTTCAATCATCTCGTCGTCCATGCTACTATGCTAACGCCACCGCCACCAAGCTGCAATGATTTGCCGCGAATGAATACCGCCGAATCTGTCGATTCATCTTGTAGTAGTGCATTAAATGCAATGTAGATTCCCATCCAATTAGATTGAATTTGGTATTGATGACGTGAAAAATAATAACGGTAACTCCATTGAAATGATTCAAAACTAAAGTAACGAGCAAATTTTTTAAAATGTAAGGAGTAGAAAGTACAGATATTTGTGTAAAAATGTAAGAAGTAGAAGTAAAAAGTCGCCATAAAAATAAGTAGTAAAGTAAAAATATCAGAAAAATCTACTTGAGTACAGTAACGAAGTATTTGTACTTCGTTACTTCCCATCTGAGTCCACCTTGCAGCTCTGCACAAATAATTTAAGCATCCAGGGTAGGGGAGGGTATTGCCAAAGAGGTCATGATTCAATCCAAATCACAATTCACATGCCACGATGCGATTCTATCACGATGCATCGCGATACTTGAAATATTGCGATTCATCGTGATATTTTCAATGAACACTGTAAGAAAAAAAATAAAGCTATTACCAGTGGCTGACTGGCTGGGTATGATCTGGATAGTGTCTTCAATTGATACATAACTGAACGCAACTGAATTCATACATAGCTGTATTTATTGAAAGGACTTTTGGAGGTGTTGCCATGAAAACAAATACTGGACACAAATATTACTATTACTGGAGTGGACACACTGACAAAAAGTGCTTAGGATTTATAAAACTTAAAATAACAGTGCCGTTTACATGGCCTCAGTGGTCCTTTAAACCAATGAAATGGAAACATTGAAATGTTTGACATTTCCCCTTTTGCAAATGACGTGTGTCAAATCTATTTCGTTTTTTCCTTCTTTGTTTTTAAAGCCAAAATGCATCCAAGCATCTGACTTGGAATGTGATGGAGCCGGGCAAATTTTCTCAGTCTCCTCCATGTTTTGTTTTTAAATGACTCGTTGCAGTATTCGCAGCGACATCTGCTGGACTGAAAGTTGTATTCCACTTGTTTTTGGCTGATGTGTGCCAACCAGTGTTGGGCAAGTTACTTTGAAAAAGTAATTAGTTATAGTTACTAGTTACTTCTCCCAAAAAGTAACTGAGTTACTAACTGAGTTACTCCACAATAAAAGTAACTAGTTACTAGTAAAAGTAACTATTGCGTTACTTTTGCGTTTCTCGCCCCCGTAACCCTCACCACCCAGCCCCCACCTTCTCGCCGTGTGTTTCCAAAGCCAGCTGAATAGAGCGGACGACAAAGACAAGAACCTGCAGAGAGTTTAGCATTTATTGCAACTCAACGTAAATTACATCTGGTGAAATTAATAACTGGGGATGTCTAATTCTGAGATCCTGTGTGTTTGGGTTGTTATAGATACTGCAACATCTATCTATCCATCTATCTATCAAGATGTATACTCTGCGTGTGACATAAAATATGGATCTCCATCCCTGCCACAAAGGCCATCAAATAATGTTTAAAATAAAAAATACAGTAGGTTGAAAAGGCAGAGTATCCATCCATCCATCCATCCAGATTTCTCCCTTTCATTTGATCGTTCACGCTCTCCATAGTTCTCCTGTGGCGCGAGCACAGGGCGACTGTTGCGCGCCTTTAGCGAGCATGCGCATTTCCTGTCGCTTGCGCGGTGAATCGTGCCGCCTGCGCTGTGCGGAGATGCAGGGGAAACAGTATGTGATGGGGAAACGCAGCTCGACGTGACACTGGTATTTCCATGTGGAAAACGCTGTTTGCTGCTGGATCCTCCTCACTCTCCATCTCTCTGTGTGTGCTGTACGTTAACACCCGCCAGCAGAAACACCCACCTACCCAACTGACAGACGGAATCTCACTATACATCAGCCATTCTCATCCTCCCCTCTCTCATGACAAGGCGCGCACCTCTGGATGACCTAAAAAATAATCTTTAATATCTCTTAAACAAAAGTAGCACAAACAATATTTTTTTTCTGCACAAATCTGCACTAACGTTGCACTAACCATTCAGTCTATTTGCAGAGCTTTTTGACGTGGGTGGGGTGTCAGCTTCACGCAGCTGTGCACAAGTCCTATCATGAAAAAAGGTTCATTGTGCGACCTGAGTAACGCGCAGTAACGGGGTGTCTGAAATGGTAACTGCGTTATAGTTACAGTCAAAGTAATTGGTTAGATTACTCGTTACTAAAACAAGGTAATGGCGTTAGTAACGCCGTTACTTTCAACGCCGTTAGTCCCATCACTGGTGCCAACCATTCATGTATTTTATTTATTCCTTTTTGTTAATTAAGAATCGATACTTGGCATCAAGAATCGATGCAGTAGATCACAAAAAGTAGAATTGCGATGCATCGTCATCGTATTTTGCACACCCCTAATCCAGGGGCGATAAAAAACTTAATGTAAAAGCCAACATTGAAGAGTTCGCTGCTGCACGTTTATTACTTTTACGTTAATCCGTACTTGCACGCCGTTCAATTGCAGCTTTTCCTCGACTGCTTACACCCACATCGCATCGACAAAGTGGCAAAACCCATGGAATGAATCTCCACTACCTTTGGTCATAAATTCACACTCTTTTGTCCATTCTGAGCTAAACGACGTCCTGGTTTTGACAGGACGCTAACTTTAATACTTAGCATCAGTAATTCTGATCCTTGTTTACTTTTGCAACCAATTAAAAGCAGATCTTTATCTGACACCACGCCACTCTTGGCCAATCATCTGTTAAATCAGATAGTGATGCAGTTTTGATGATTGGATATTGTGCTGCAGCCCAGCAAAAAAAAAATTTATAAATAATCTGCTCTACAAGCCTAGTGCCTCATAAAGGAGGACAGGGCACAGTGCAATGACCTAAAACCTAAAGCTTTTAAGGTTGCTGTAATTAAACCTCTGCTTAAGAAACCGTCTCTTGACCCAGATGACTTGGTCAATTATAGACCTATATCCAATCTTCCTTTCTTATCCAAAATTCTTGAGAAAGTAGTTGCCAAACAAGTTTGCGATCACTTCCACCATAATGAACTTTTTGAAGAGTTTCAGTCTGGCTTTAGAGCTCATCATAGCACTGAAACAGCTCTGGTGAAAGTCACTAATGATATTCTCATGGCCTCAGATAATGGACTTGTATCTGTGCTTGTCCTGTTGGATCTTAGTGCTGCATTTGATACAGTTGACCATAATATTCTTTTAGAAAGACTTGAATATTTTGTTGGAATTAAAGGAACAGCACTAGACTGGTTTAAATCTTATCTATCTGATCGAATTTGGTTTGTTCATGTTAATGATAGATCTTCAACACGCTCAAAGGTTACCTGTGGAGTACCACAGGGATCAGTGCTAGGACCAATTCTCTTTACTTTATACATGCTCCCAATTGGTAGAATTATTAGACAGCATGGGATTAATTTCCACTGTTACGCTGATGATACCCAGCTATATCTGTCTATAAATCCAGATGAAGCTAACCCATTACATAGATTACAGGCATGTCTTGAAGACATAAAAACCTGGATGACTCTTAACTTTCTGCTCCTGAATGCAGACAAAACAGAAGTTATAGTCTTTGGACCAGAGTCTCTGAAAAAGAAACTGATTAGCCAGTCACTTCATTTGGATGGGATTAAACTGATTTCAGATAATAAAGTAAAAAATCTTGGTGTTATTTTTGATCAGGACCTGTCATTTAAATCCCATATCAAAGAGGTTTCTAGAATTTCCTTCTTTCATCTGAGGAACATTGCAAAAATTAGAAATATCCTGTCCAGGGTTGATGCTGAGAAACTAGTCCATGCATTTGTTACTTCAAGGCTGGACTATTGTAATTCTTTACTATCAGGAAGTCCACAAACTGTAGTTAAAAGCCTTCAGCTGATCCAAAATGCTGCAGCCAGAGTTCTAATGAAAATTAAAAAGAGAGATCATATCTCACCTATCCTGGCTTCTCTTCATTGGCTTCCTGTTAAATCAAGAATAGAATTTAAAATCCTCCTTCTCACATATAAAGCCTTAAATGGCCAAGCTCCATCTTATATCAGAGATCTGATTGTTCCTTATGTTCCTAACAGAGCACTTCGCTCTCAATCTGCAGGTTTACTAATGGTTCCTAGAATTTCTAAAAGTAGAATGGGAGGCAGATCTTTTAGTTATCAGGCTCCTCTCCTGTGGAACCAACTACCAGTTTTAGTCCGTGAGGCAGACACCCTGTCTACTTTTAAGGCTAGGCTTAAAACTTTCCTTTTTGATAAAGCTTATAGTTAGGGTGGCTCAGGTTATCCTGAGCTATCTCTATAGTTATGCTGCTATAGGCTTAGACCTTTGGAGGACATAGGGACCCCCATTTCATCATTCTGCTTCATTCTCTCTCTGTTCTCCTATTCTGCAGAATCTGTTAGTTCAATCTCTAACCTTCTGCTCTCTCTGCCTTTCCTCAGAGTAGCTTTGCCTCGTCTGTTCCTGTTTGGCTGTGACGTCATCCTGGAAAGAAACATCAGCTGTGCTGCTTCTATCAACACCCTTGTTTATAGATGTTGGAGATCGGCCTGTTTTCCAGTGTGGTCCTGTTTCTCTGACCGTGACTGAGTGGATGTGCTCTCTTCGTCCTCTGGCATGGGAGCTGCCTTGGAGCTCGTCTGCCTGGCTGCGTGTTTCCTGGACGGGGCCGCCTTTTGCAGCTGCTTTTTGTATCTCTGCTTCTGTCTCCTTGAACCCCAGTCGGCCTCGGCAGATGGCCGCTCACACTGAGCCTGGTTCTGCTGGAGGTTTCTTCCTGTTAAAAGGGAGTTTTTCCTCTCCACTGTCGCTACAAGCATGCTTAGTGTGGGGGATTGTATTTGAGTCAATGAGTCAATGCAATCAACTGGTTTTCCTTAGATAGAAAACTTTGTATCAATTTGACTGTATGATCTGGTTGAACTGTAAAGTGCCTTGAGATGACATGTGTTGTGAATTTGGCGCTATATAAATAAACTGAATTGAATTGAATGAAAATCCGGACTGTCCACCCTAAAGCCGGACATTTGGCCACCCTAATGTGCATGCATTTGTTAAGAGTGAGAAATTACAAGTGTAGTGTGTGTATACTATTTATATAGATCTTGCATTAGCAACATTAGCAGTTAGCCATGTTTCCCAGACGCTTATACGATACGTAAAAGGTTAGATAAGCAGTAACACCTACCCTCTGCCTGTAGGTTAGTCCCTGATTGTTTGAATCATTGCTTTTGGTGAAACAGAGACAGTAATGATGATAGCAGGACAGGCTAACATTAGCTACCTTTCAGAAATTATGTATATCAAGAAAAAGCACACAAAACAATTCTTATATAATAAACTAGGGATGCACGATATTGGGATTTTGGCCGATATCCGATATGCCGATATTTTAAAACTCATGTGGTCGATAACCGATAGGGTTGGGAATTGAAAAGATTTTCACGATTCCGATTCCCTTTTCGATTCTATGAAATGATTCGATTCTTTATCGATTCTTTTTTCGATTCCAATTTGGGGGAAAAAGGAGAACAAACAGTTTGATTATCAGAATCAACTTTGTTTACTTAACTATTGCACAATCTTACAAACTCAACAAGATCAAGATGTCCACAGGAAATGTGAAACTGGAGTAACATCTGTGTTTAAATGAAAAATAAATATACAAGAACAAACTTAATAACCAACAATGTCTAATAACAAATGATTGGATAATAACCTATTTTAAATAACAAAAAATACTAATTATAAAACAGTAGTAGGAAAAATTAACAGTTCTTTTGCAGAAAGATGAGCATATCTGCTTTTTCTGGAAGGATACAGGATCTTTCAGGGCTTAAGGTGTCTCCAGCCGTGGAGAACACCCTCTCAGATGGGATGGAGGAAGCCTGCACACAGAGGTAGTTTTCAGCCAGTCAGATAGCAAGGGCAGCGTATCTTGCTTGTTCCACCACCACAGTGTGGCGCTATCCCTGCAGGGGATGGAGGGCAAGCTTTTATAGAGCTGGATTTCCTGATCTACCCACTGGGCTAAGGAAAGACGGGGCTTTGATTCACAAAGTGACCGCAGCTCGTTGTCTTCCTCCTCGAATAGTTATTCCAACTTGCGTAACTTGCGTGACTTACGTAACTTACGTAAAAAACGTGACGTAAGTCGTGCTCCCCAGAGCCGGCGCTCTAGGCTCTGGTGCTGCGGGAATCGAAAAAAGAATCGTTCAGTGAGCTGCCAAACGATGCCATGGAATCGGAAAATACGGAACCGGTTCTTAACAGGAACCGGTTTTCGATTCCCATCCCTAATAACCGATATCGATACTGATGTTAAAGCTGGACAAAAATAAGTAGTCATTAAAAATAGCAGTTTTGTTATCCATTTCTGACAAAATAATATACTCAAATATATTTTCATATGCTGATATCAAATTGATTTTTAAAAACGCGGTATCGACCTATTTTACTTTCAAAATCTCATGAAATTTCATCGTTCTGTTACAAACTCTCGTGATATTTTGCAAATTCTTGTGAGATTTTGTTAGTGAAATAGATCGATACCACGTCAATATATCAACATATAAAAATATTGCAAAATTTTGTGAATTTTTGGGGGATTTCGTAGCATAACGATGACATATAGCAATATTTCATTAGTAAAAGAGATTGATATGTTGTTTTTAAATGGCAATATATCAGCATATGAAGATATTGTGATATTTTAATGTATCAATATTTTTTCCCTCGTCTTTAGAAGTTTTTAAGTCTGTAAAAAAGAAGTTTTTGAGGAAGAAGAAGTAGTTTTTTTTTTTTTTTTTTTTTTTTTTAGACTTTAGAAACTCAGAAGCTGATCCAATATCGGATTAAATATCGGTGGGGTGGCCGATGTCCGATATTCAGTTTTAAGGCCGATACAGGCCGATACCGATAGGGGGCCGATTATATCGTGCATCCCTATAATAAACTTTAATCTGTTAAAAATACACCAACGGTCACCTCAGTCTGGCTGTTTTTTCTCCAATGGAGACTGGTTTAGGAGTGAAAGGAGAAGCCCTACATGCCTAGACAGATGAAGCCCCTCCTTCCTTTATACTGTGTCATTAACAAGTAGCCACACATCTTTATACATGGAAACTGTCTTTTCTGAACAGACAGTTACAGGCTCGGAGATGGCGCATGATCAGAAGCATCATCATCATCATCATTTTCGATGTCCACCTCCTGTTTTAAGCCTTTAACTTAATATGAATGAATCAAAATTTAAGAAATATTGGTTACTGCGATCTATTTAGAGTGTCTGACTTTAGATTAGTTGAATTTTTTTAACGCAATTCAAACAGCTGAAAACATGAAGCACAAAAAACAGCAATTTCCTATAATTCCCCTGTTTGAACAGGGCGCTGAAGTCTTACTTGTTGTTCTGGCTCCAGTCGCAGCCAAAAACAGCAGCAGGATGTTTGTACTTATGCAGTATCTTCCCATCGATGGTTCGGATGATGCTGCAGCGAGAAAAATATAAAAACACAACACTGAGAAGTGTGTTGGGGGGGCTAAACCTAACCCGGCTGTTAGAGAAGTTGAGGGCTGACCAGAAACCGTCTCCGCTGCACGTGGCGATCCTCTTGGAGTCTTTGTGGCTCCATGAGATGCAGAATATGCCATTTTTACCGTGCTGAAAGGAAACCATCAACAGTCTGTAACTTTACCACCTTAATGAACATTGTTCTGCAGATTGTGGCTTTGAACAGACCTCGTTAAAGCGGGTAATGATTTTTCCTTTCCTGACGTCCCAGATAAATGCTCCGTTACGAGATGTTGCTCCTGCGATGCAGTTCAGGTCACCTTAAAAACAAGCAGAGATTTTTTTTTTTTTATGGAATAGAATCAGTGTTGCTTTCGTAAACGATGACAATGACGAAATTATTCCGTTGTGCCAAAGTAGAAAGAAGAATGTTTTTGTTCTTAACTTTTTTGAGCTATGAAGATTTTATTGATCGTATTGTCCTGCAACCATGTTTCAGTAAAACAAATGATAATGTCCTTGCTAGGGGTTGGTGTCCCTTTAACTTGTTTACTCAAAATTCCACATCGCCCATACTGATAACTTAGGCTTAATATTTATGCTATGTTCACACCAAACACAATTTGAGCAGCAGAAGCAGCTGGAAAATTCCGTAGAAGCGACGGTTTGAGGCAGCTGCTGCTGGGGATTCCAAGTGACGGCCTGCTGCCGAGAGCAAAATAATATTTTAAGGCAGGATCATAATCTTCATAAACTGACAGCAAAAATTATCTTTGGAGTTATACTTACTTGCTTGAAAACATATTAAAACTACTTTATACCTAACCTAACTAAGTGACTCTGCCATTGAATATAATAGCAGCACAAGCATCAGATGCATCTGAACATACTTTACTAAAAGATGCTCTTGAGGCACATCAGATGATTCTTTGCTGCTCAAATTGCATTCAGTTCGAACGTATCATAAGAGGTGATCACAAATTCGTCAAAGTATAGGTCCCGCAGGAGAGCCTGCCTGTGCTAAGATGGCTGCCGGCGATCGCATCCAGCAAGCCACTATAAAAGATCTAGCAGTTATATAGATATCTATGATGGTTGCAAACTGTATTAGCTATTAATAACGTTTTAGCTAACAATATCATTAGTATATAACCTCACTTTAACACATTAGTAACCAGTAGGATATCAGGTAACCATTTTTTCCTACACATATCAGCTAACAATATCATATTAGCATATTAGCTAACTTTACCATAAAAGGGAACCATTAGTAAACGAGGTATTGATGGATAACTGTATCAGCGTATTAGTTAGCTTTACCAAAACAGAAACCATTGATAGCAAACCGCATTAGCTCGTTATAGCATATCAGCCAACAATATAATTAGCATATTAGCCATCTTTACTATTAAAGAAAATTATTATATAATTACTACATCAGGTAGCGACTGCCAACTGTATTAGCTAATAATAAACTAAGGCTCAGTCCGAATGTCCACCCTAATACCCTTACACTCACCGGCCACTTTATTAGGTACACCTGTCCAACTGCTTGTTAACGCTTAATTTCTAAGCAGCCAATCACATGGCGGCAACTCAGTGCATTTAGGCATGTAGACATGGTCAAGACAATCTCCTGCAGTTCAAACCGAGCATCAGTATGGGGAAGAAAGGTGATTTGAGTGACTTTGAATGTGGCATGATTGTTGGTGCCAGAAGGGCTGGTCTGAGTATTTCAGAAACTGCTGATCTACTGGTATTTTCACGCACAACCATCTCTTGGGTTTACAGAGAATGGTCCGAAAAAGAAAAAACATCCAGTGAGCGGCAGTTCTGTGGGCGGAAATGCCTTGTTGATGCCAGAGGTCAGAGGAGAATGGTCAGACTGGTTCGAGCTGATAGAAGGGCAACAGTGACTCAAATAACCACCCGTTACAACCAAGGTGGGCAGAAGAGCATCTCTGAACGCACAGTACGTGGAACTTTGAGGCAGATGGGCTACAGCAGCAGAAGACCACACCGGGTGCCACTCCTTTCAGCTAAGAACAGGAAACTGAGGCTACAATTTGCACAAGCTCATCGAAATTGGACAATAGAAGATTGGAAAAACGTTGCCTGGTCTGATGAGTCTCGATTTCTGCTGCGACATTCGGATGGTAGGGTCAGAATTTGGCGTCTACAACATGAAAGCATGGATCCATCCTGCCTTTTATCAACGGTTCAGGCTGGTGGTGGTGGTGTCATGGTGTGGGGAATATTTTCTTGGCACTCTTTGGGCCCCTTGGTACCAATTGAGCATTGTTGCAACGCCACAGCCTACCTGAGTATTGTTGCTGACCATGCCCATCCCTTTATGACCACAATGTACCCAACTTCTGATGGCTACTTGTAGCAGGATAATGCGCCATGTCATAAAGCTGGAATCATCTCAGACTGAGTTCACTGTACTCAAATGGCCTCCACAGTCACCAGATCTCAATCCAATAGAGCATCTTTGGGATGTAGTGGAATGGGAGATTTGGATCATGGATCCAGCCGACAAATCTGCAGCAACTGTGTGATGCCATCATGTCAATATGGACCAAACTCCCTGAGGAATGCTTAAAGCACCTTGTTGAATCTATGCCACGTAGAATTGAGGCAGTTCTGAAGGCAAAAAGGGGGTCCAACCCGTTACTAGCATGGGGCACCTAATAAAGTGGCCAGTGAGTGTATATAGGGCCCTATATAAGGATTAGGCTATTTTAAATGGGGGTCTGAATGTCTAGAGGAGGAAAAAGTAGTGGACTCGAAATGTCCCACAATCATCCATGGTCACTAGGCGAGCAGATATATCCAGGAAAGCTTTGCGAGAGCTTTCCTCGCAAAGCATTATGGTATTTCTTGTCACAGCGGCAACAAATAACAAAGATCTGTCCGAACGGTCAGTTAACTGAGTTCCCTATAAAGTCCCTGCTCTATATAGTGATTAAGGGATTTAGGGGTTAGGGTGGATGTTTGGACACAGCCAGTCTGGCATACTGTTAGGATATTAGCTAACAGTAGGTAATGGAAGCTGATGTGCTGATCCACCTGGAGCCCAGGACAGCGAGTAAACCACTCCTTCGTTGCCTGGTGAGGTATGTACAGCCGTCAACGTGTTGGTGTCCCAGATTTTTATTGTTCCATCAAAACTAGCCGTTGCCAGGAGGTTGGGATCATCTGGTTTGAACTTGCAGTCAAAGATAGTTTCTACATGACCCTGAAATGGACAAAAAAAACTGTTCGTACAGAAAGACCACAGAGAAAAGCTCCAGGTTTCTGACTTTGTGCAGGCAGCGGAGTACCAGGTCACGTAGGAAATCCCACTTCTTGGCTCCCATATCATAGAGTCCAACACCACCATCCATGAAGCAGCAGACCGCATGGCCGGGCGGCAGAGAGAAGGCCCGGTTCTGGGACAGAGTCGGTGGGGGGACAGCCTCGCTGGTGGAACTGGTGTGCTGGCTTTTACCGGGAGAACAGGCGCTCTGAGCTGCAGAGAGAAAGGAGAGCAGCAGCTCAGGTTCAGAGGGTCCAACATGAATACTGCTGACCTGAGGTAGAACTGATTTATTTGAAAAAAAACAGGAACAGGAAAGTTTTTGATCAAATGTCTAAGACATGCTTGAGTTTATCCATTTGCTGCTCTGGAACAGGCCCAGAGTGGCTAATCGGCAGGACATGGACAATTCCCAGTAAGCTGGTCTTATTTTTAGGCTGCAAGTGCCATTCATTTATTTTATTTCATTAATTTTTTACACCGGTGTTCTGCCATGAGTGGATCGCTTGAACTGCTATGCCATCCCTGACCTGCCTCTGGCTTCACTGGCAGGTTTTTTCTCCCTGCACTCTTACGTAATACATTGGTGCACACAGTCCCTCACTGGTGCCTGAAAGTTGGGGAGTAAAAGGAGCATCAGCAGCTCAAAGAAAACCAAAAAAAGTTTCCGCCATGATAATGCTGCGTTCACACCGGACGCAGCTGGCGCGACAGAAGCAGCGAGTTTACATGCAAAGTCAATAGTTGACGCGCGTCGGGCGCGTTTAAGCATCTGACGCGCGTGACGCGCCGCAAACGCGCTGCTGCTCGAGATGGAAAAATTTAATTTTTGCTGCTCGACGCGCCACGTCAACCAATCAGAGAAGCTGATCTGGGAGCTGGCAGGGAGACAGACACAGCACTGATGATACAGAGCGCTATGATCACTCCTCTGAAACAGTTTATTGACGCCTAAATTTACTTAAAATGCAGAAATCTGCCGGCAGAATATGTTGGCTTTTATTATCTTTTTTATTAGCTAGGCGGAGCGAGACACGCATCTGGCTGTTGTCAGATTAGGTCTGAGCGGCTCCGACAGAAAAAATATTGGAAGGCAGGATGATAATCTGAATGAACTGACTGCACTGATTACGTTTTCAGGTGTATTTTCTCACTTAAAAACATATTAAAACTACTTTATTCCCACTGATCACAGCAAATATAGCTGCAAGGCAGAGAAAGGATAGTGAAGCTCCGCCCAACGCGCGTCAGACACACTTTTGCACCACGCAGCCAGAGCAGCAAAGCTGCTTCAGCCGCGCGTCAGAACTAACTGGTACAAGCAGCAAAAAGGAAGCAGCAGAAGCGATTTTGCTGCTTTTGCTGCGTCCGGTGTGAACGTAGCATAACTGCACAAAGATCGCCACTGTGCTAGCAACGAGCATGCTTTTAAAATTCGGTGTTAAAAAATTTAGTGTTTAAAATTCGGTGTTAAAAAAAAGGCAGATTCCAACGAGACTAATTTTCTTCCATAAATAAAGAGTATGGTGCAGTTCTTTATGCTCCTAAGTATGACATTTTTTATTAAATGTTACTTATTGTCAGAAGCAAAACCAGTGGTGATGATGGGATTGCTCCTGTTACTATGGAAGAAACGGGTGCTTACAGCGTGTGAACAAATAGGCATAAGTTCTAAATATTTTCTATGTAATAGCCATATAAGCATTTCAAGTAAATAAGAAAAACACAAAACCTACAAGTGAAATGGAATAATAAGAAATATATCTGAATATTTATACCCTGAAATGTCTTAACTGTTTCAAATTAAGTTTAAATTAAGTTCAAATGTGCTTCCCAATACGAATATGCTAAAATTTTTAAAATTACAATTTTTTTATGTGATGCAGGTCCAGGAGAGTCTAGGGAAACTGGAGGAAGTGTAAAATGTTAATATTTTCTGTTTTTATTTTAGTTTTTAGGTTTGGATATCAGTGAACACTTAGTGTTATATAGAATAATGTTGAGAATTTCCACTCATGTTTAAATAAATCTGCATTGTAAAGCAACCCTAACGTGTATTTTAAGTATTTTAGAACAAATACACAAAATTAAAAGCCTTGGGGTTTAACGTTGTATGGTTTTTAATAATAACAGGTCATTATCTTAAGTGGGCCTGTCTGAGGGGTGAAACTCCAGGTCTGAAAGTTAGGCCCCGTCCACACGAAGCCAAACCCTGGCCTAAACGCACACATTTTTCACCAAACCAGCCTCTCATCCATACGAAGCCGGCGTTTCGGGGTCTGTAAACGATCTTTTTTTTATTCAGCCTTCAGAGTGGGAAGATTTTGAAACGCCGTTTTCGCGTTTCCATCTTTAAGCTCTGACCGCATTTTTTTTTCTTACACGCATGCGTCATAGCGTCGCCTCTAAACACGCATGTGCGACACAGTATCACAACAACAATGGCGCCGTACTGTGTTGAATGGTTGCTGCTCATGCTACTCATCCTGCTGTCGAGCTTACAACAGAATCTTCTTCTTCTGGAATATCTCCAGGAAGAACAGAGCAATATCGACGACATAGTTCAACACCTGAATTTGACTGAACCACGAAAATGGACCCGCAGGGCAACCATGTATAAATATTAGTGCGCATGCCCAACATTTCGTCGCCTATTTTTGCTTTGGCACCAGAGCGCCACTTACAGGCCTGGCATACATTTTGCAGCGTTTTCATGCATTCGTGTGGACGATCACATTTATTTTATGTCTCCATCTTTACGACAAACGTTCTGGAAAATATTAGCGTTTCGTGTTCGTTTTGTCTTCGTGTGGACGGGGCCTTAGTCCCACTCCAGTGCTGCGCTGGACGTTACCTTTTTTGGTCAGAGGGGAGTTGAGGACGTGCAGGGCATGAAACCCTGTCTTCTTCAGCTTAAAGCTGTCCAACGGAGTGGACCGAGACACGTTCCACACTCTTAATACTCCAACCTGTGAATCTGATGAGCAGAAATAAACCGTTTCCACCATTATTCTCAGTCAAATACAAATTTCATTAATTTCACTTTGTCTCTAATCCAAATGATCAGAGCGATTTGGAATATGAAAACGCTTCTGCATGCGGTCCCACACACCAGCTGGATATGAGCTCTTTGCTCAGATTAACACCAGTGCGGTAATGAAAACCCACGTCCTACACGCTGCATATTTACCTCCAGTAATGAACATGCCGGGAGCCGATGGGACCCAGGCCAAACACTGAACGGATGCAGCAGCCGAGGGGAAACAGAAGGACGTGATGCATGCCAGACCCTCGCTGTCCACCAGCCTGATGCCGTTATGGAGGTTTGACACTGTGGCAGGGGTTAAACATGTGATGTTAGGAATACAGGAGGCTTCATGTTAATCATCTCATTCGATCAATCACAAATTCTATTTACAGAATACTAAAGGACTGCATGAATATTTTGCCAAAAAAGAAGCATTTCATAGAACCATAGAAGCGAACTCCTGTTGGTTTCGAGAATTCGACACTAAAGAATCATCTTCAGAGGATGAGACATCAGGCAGACAGAGTCCATCAAACCTGAACCGTCTACCACTGAAAATACATTAACCAGACCTAGTAAGTAGTCGGTTGACAGGGGGTCCCACTCCAGGGCACTGATGGGGTCCTCTTCATCCGTCCCCTCTAAAGACTCCGGACGCAGCACATGCTTCTGGCTTTTACTCCCTGCAGACAGCAGACAGGTTAGTGGAAGATCCAGCTACTGCTAAACTAAACAGTTGGAACTAGAAATTGACCAATACAGATTTTTAAGGCCGATACCGGCTATTTTGACATCACAAACCGATCCCCATTAGGGGCAGCTGACTTTTTTAATTTTGCATTTTCTTCCTCTACTTTCATGATAATCACACAGGTCTACAAATTAGGCAAAAAAAGAACATTTATCAACAAATGAAAACACTAACAATGGAAAGCAGAGGAAGGGAGCAGCAATCCATGTCCCTCATGTTATCTTAGGCCTGAAGACGCTAATGAGTAGGGCTGGGGATTTTTGCCTGAATCGATTCGATTTTGATACATACAGTTCCAAATCGATTAATTTCGATTCGATCTGTTTTTACAATAATGAAAGTGGTTCAACTGTGTTTCAAAATACTCATGTATTTTGTTTTTTCCTGTCACATTAAACAAACATTAAACATTTCAATTAAATTCAATTCAGTTTATTTCTATAGCGCCAAATTCACAACACATGTCATCTCAAGGCACTTTACAGTTCAACCAGATCATCCAGTCAAATTGATACAAAGTTTTCTATCTAAGGAAAACCAGTTGATTGCATCGACTCTGACTCAAATACAATCCCTCACACTAAGCATGCTTGTAGCGACAGTGGAGAGGAAAAACTCCCTTTTAACAGGAAGAAACCTCCAGCAGAACCAGGTTCAGAGTGAGCGGCCATCTGCTGAGGCCGACTGGGGTTCAAGGAGACAGAAGGAGAGACACAAAAAGCAGCTGTAAAAGGCGGCCCCATCCAGGAAACACACAGCCAGGCCCTATATATATATATATATACACTATATTGCCAAAAGTATTTGCTCACCTGCCTTGACTCACATATGAGCTTAAGTGACATCCCGTTCCTAATCCATAGGGTTCAATATGACGTCGGTCCACCCTTTGCAGCTAGAACAGCTTCAACTCTTCTGGGAAGGCTGTCCACAAGGTTTAGGAGTGTGTTTATGGGAATTTTTGACCATTCTTCCAGAAGCGCATTTGTGAGGTCGCACACTGATGTTGGACGAGAAGGCCTGGCTCTCAGTCTCCGCTCTAATTCATCCCAAAGGTGTTCTATCGGGTTGAGGTCAGGACTCTGTGCAGGCCAGTCAAGTTCATCCACACCAGACTCTGTCATCCATGTCTTTATGGACCTTGCTTTGTGCACTGGTGCACAGTCATGTTGGAAGAGGAAGGGGCCAGCTCCAAACTGTTCCCACAAAGTTGGGAGCATGGAATTGTCCAAAATGTCTTGGTATGCTGAAGCATTCAGAGTTCGTTTCACTGGAACTAAGGGGCCAAGCCCAGCTCCTGAAAAACAACCCCACACCATAATCCCCCCTCCACCAAACTTTACACTTGGCACAATGCAGTCAGACAAGTACCGTTCTCCTGGCAACCGCCAAACCCAGACCCGTCCATCAGATTGCCAGATGGAGAAGCGCGATTCGTCACTCCAGAGAACGCGTCTCCACTGCTCTAGAGTCCAGTGGCGGCGTGCTTTACACCACCGCATCCGACGCTTTGCATTGCACTTGGTGATGTATGGCTTGGATGCAGCTGCTCGACCATGGAAACCCATTCCATGAAGCTCTCTGCGCACTGTTCTTGAGCTAATCTGAAGGCCACATGAAGTTTGGAGGTCTGTAGTGATTGACTCTGCAGAAAGTTGGCGACCTCTTCGCACTATGCGCGTCAGCATCCGCTGACCCCGCTCCGTCAGTTTACGTGGCCTACCACTTCGTGGCTGAGTTGCTGTCGTTCCCAAACACTTCCATTTTCTTATAATACAGCTGACAGTTGACTGTGGAATATTTAGGAGCGAGGAAATTTCACGACTGGATTTGTTGCACAGGTGGCATCCTATCACAGTTCCACGCTGGAATTCACTGAGCTCCTGAGAGCGACCCATTCTTTCACAAATGTTTGTAAAAACAGTCTGCATGCCTAGGTGCTTGAATTTATACACCTGTGGCCATGGAAGTGATTGGAACACCTGATTCCAATAATTTGGATGGGTGAGCAAATACTTTTGGCAATATAGTGTATATATATATATATATATATATATATATATATATATATAATTTTTCCACTATGTCACACTCACCACTGACAAGTGAAAATGGGGGCGAGTACGTAGCACGGCCTTACGTAAACATATCACCAGAATGATTGACAATTAGGAGGACCACTTATTTTGATGATCCACCCAGAAAAAGAACATCCTCCACTATATCTTTAACGTTAATTTTGTTCCATCATTGTTAGAAGCAAAGAACAGATTTTGTAAATGGAAATGTAAAAAAAAAAAATGCAATCAAGAAATAAAACTGTTTTTCAGTTATTTTTAACAAATTGATTTCTTTTACAGGTCATTTCAAGCCCAATAGAAAACGCTCACTATTGACCAATAACAATGATTTTCTTATATCCCTGCAGACCAGTAGAAAAGCCAGCCCCCAGAATTGAAGAGAATTTGATCTGTTTGAAGAAAAAAAATCAAATATGTAACATAAGAAAAAAAATATATACATATATATATATTAAATAGATTTTTAAAAAATTGGGGGCTAAAATTTGACTTGATTTTATCAGAGAAAAGCAATAATCAATTCTTTAAAGTTTCATTTCTGAATTGCTTTTTTGCATCCTTGATTGCAACAATAATGGACCAAAATGCTCACAAAAGCAGGTTATTTTCCTCTCTAGATCCCAGCTGCAGCTCAGTGTTTGTATTCAAGGCTCCTCCTTATGTTCCTCCTCTTCACCATCAATGCCATTGTGCATTTAAACGAGTCAGCTGATCGGTGTTATTTAATGGTTACCAATGGCAACCATACAAAAGATAAAGAAAACAAAAACACCGTGTAACAGAGGTACAAACAGATATGTTGGTGAGTCACGGTGGAAAGTCAGATAAATGTTTTTTCATTTAATTAAAGAAAAGTATTGAGCTTAATGCTGGCTGATATCTCAGATTTATGGTAGAATTCACAGAATTATTTTGCTCCTAAAAGCAGCTTCAGAGAGTCATTTAATTCTTGATTATGTTAAACACCTGTGGAGGAATTCATGCTGGTCGGAGCCGACGGGAACCATGGGGAGGATAATGGGTGGAATTGATTAAAAAACAAGATGAAAGAAAACATTGAAAAGCAGAAAACCTATTTATAAGATTTAATATGAGCAAAATTACTTATACCGCTTCCTAATTTCTGTTAATTAATTTGGATCTTTAACAAACTGACTGCAGCTTGAAGCCTTATACATTTTTCTTATCTGTAATTCATAAGCTTCAGAGCAACTTTGCTGTTATTTAAATATTTATTTTTCATAATGTATTTTTTTCAAATGATCTTTTTTATAGAAATATTTTTTAAAATCTGCTTTTCAGACTGAGTTTTACAAAATTAATTCTTTTAAATGTTTCACAGATCACTTTCGGTTCACTTCAAATAGAAACACTCAAAATGTTGCTATATAGACCAGCAATAGTGCATCTTTAATCCTCACAAAGAAGAATAAAAAAAAATAATAATTTTGAAAAACAAATTTATCTTAAAATCAGTAAAGAGTGTCTTTTATAATATTTGAAAATTATTAAATATGAAAAAAAAAAAAAAAACCCGAAGTGACAAAACAGAAAAGTTGCTCAAATACTTTTTTGTATTACAATCTTTTTATAAAAAAAACATGATCTTTGCTTGCAACAGTAATAAAGTTAATTCCATATGCATCCATCAGGCACCATAAACCCGGTTCGGCTGTTTAAAGTATTTTCACTATGAATTCTTCCCATCTTATTACAATAATGAATCTATCTGCGAAATGACTCACTCTCTTATTCATCAGGAAGAGCAATAAAATGGTGAAAAAGTTGAAATATTATATAGACTTTGATAATGAATAAAAGCTGCTCATGAATCTCATTATTCCTGTGACAGGATAGCATATGTGTCACACATAAAATTAAAATGTCTGACCATATTATGACCCTCAGGTTTGTTGTTTATAAACAGAGATGGCAAAAGTACTCACTTTCCATACTTGAGTAAAAGTACAGATACTTGTGTTAAAAAATACTCTGGTAAAAGTGGAAGTACTGATTAAACTTCTTTACTCAAGTAAAAGTAACAAAGTACAGGCTTGTAAATTTACTTAAAGTATAATAGTAAAAGTAGAAACCACTTTTTTCATGCCCTTGCCTACATTTTAAATGGATGTCTGCCAATAGGACTAGATCTTTGTTGTGTTCATTTTCAATCATCTCGTCGTCCATGCTACTATGCTAACGCCACCGCCACCAAGCTGCAATGATTTGCCACAAATGAATACCGCCGAATCTGTTGATTCATCTTGTAGTGGTGCGTCAACTGCAGCGTAGATTCCCATCCAATTAGATTGATTTTGGTATTGCTGACGTGAAAAATAATAACGGTAACTCCATTGAAATTATTCAAAACTAAAGTAACGAGCCAATTTTTTAAAATGTAAGGAGTAGAAGTAAAAATTCGCCATAAAAATAAGTAGTTAAGTAAAGTAATAATATCAGAAATATCTACTTGAGTACAGTAACGAAGAATTTGTACTTCGTTTCTTCCCATCTCTGTTTATAAATCACAATATTTGCATGGCCGTTGCAGTTTGCAAGCTTTTTTTTAAATGAGGCCCCTGGATAAACTGCTGCTGACAACTGAATGTGTCATATGAGCATAAACAGCCTATACAGGCTGTCAGGCACAGTAGGAGGGAAGGTTATCTGGGCTTGTTTTGGGTTCACAGGTGGAGCCTTTTCAAAGTATTCTAGAACCAAATGTGAATTCTTCTATCCACAGCAGTAGATCTACAGCAGAATGGCTGAAAAACAAAAGACGGCGGCGCTGCGATGACCTAGACAAAAGCCCTATTTACACTACCCTCTGAAAACCGATGCGTGCCGAGCTTGGAGCAGTTAACCGCGCCAAGCTCGGTTTTTTAAGACGGTTTACACACTGCTTAGGACGGTTCCTCGCCTCCTAGTGGCAATCCAAGGTACTGCTGCTGTCTAGAGGTAAACAAGCAAACCAACAGGGAGGCCCCCGTAACATTCAGGAAGTTATGTTTTGTTATCTTTGTGATATTTTGTTGTTTGTGGAGAGTCAGGCGAAGAAGGCAGCCTTTGGTGAATTTACTTGACAGAGTCGGCTTTTGGGAAGTGGATACGACAAACAATATTCTAATCAGGGCTTAAAGATGCAGGAAACAACCACGGACATTGAGGTTAATCACACTGCTAAGCATAATCATTACTGGAAATCGTGTGGCACGTAGGGAAGCTAGTATTTTTATGAATGCCTGAAATTTCATTAATACGGAGGCTGACAGTAAAGAGATGACGCGGTCCATTCATGCGCTCTTTGTTATCTGAGAACTGAGCCAAAACTGAACCGTGCCGAGCCCTACTGATGAACTAGTACCAGTTAGGCGGGGTTCGGTTGTGTCTGGCGCTACCCGGTTCAGTTTTGCGTGCCATTTACTAGGGTTGTCACGATACTAAACTTTTCAACTCGATACCGATACTAAGTAAAATATTCGATACCATTTTCGATACCACAAGAATAAAAGCAAAGACTCTAAAATTCAACAGAAATATTTTCATTACTAAAAAAATACAAGAAATAAATAAAAAACAATAAGAACAATATTTTGAGGTTGTATCCTGTGCACAATATTATGAAAGCTTGACAAAAAACTTACAAAATTAAAATTAAGTGTTCCTTCCTTGGCTATGTTTTGCAGACATAGCAATGACACTAGCCAAAAAATAATTCTCAGCAGCTGCACCTGTTACAAAAAAAGTCCGGAACTGAAAAATGCACAGAATTATTCAATCACACAGTGTTCAGAAAGTGCATTTCCCACTATTCTGCACTTTGGATGGCTGTATCTATACTTTGGAAAATGAGTATTGTATCAGGATACAACGTTTCAGTATCGATACTTTTTTGAGTATCGATACTTTTGACAACCCTACCATTTACATTCAACAGTTATCCCGGTTCCCATGCTCTAACCGATCTCGGCACGTTTCAGAGGGTAGTGTAAATAGGGCTTAAGTCGTAACCTCAAACCGATGGACAGTTTGACTGAAAACGACGAGTTCCCACTGCTAGTTGTTCTGTAACAGATATCACGGACCCACCTGCTGGCTAATCTGGACCCAACCTGATTTAAAACATTAGTAAATTAAAGCATGTTGTCCGACGGCAGTGTCTAATTTCACTTGCGCCACTTCTCCTGTTTTTACGGTAAAGCCCTCCATAGCAATCAGGACCAGGCTGCAGGCGCTACAAATTAGCCAATGAGCTGCTGTCAGTCTGGCTTGCTGCTGCTAGCTACTTTTAGACACAGCAGGCAAACCTGTGGCAAGCCGGGCGATGGGAAAGAGGGAGAATATAGAACGAGAACGATGAGAAAAGGTGAAAGAAAGTGTGGACTGCTGGAAGAACTGTTGTGAACTGGTGAAAGAAAAGTGAAATGGCGCTCAAAGATGACCCTGCACATTTAGAGGATGTTTGGCTCAACCTGCTGCTGTGAAGCAGGATTCTCCACCATGAACAGAATCAAAAATAAATATAGATCCAGGCTCAAAATGAGCACCTTGATATGTGCTTTAGAATGACTTTGTCGCCATTCAAACGCAGGTTTAAAGCCTTGCAGGGCAGCATAAAGCCCACTGCGAACATTAGGACAGAAAAAAGAAAAAAATAAATAACTAATGGTCAGTTCAGCTGTTTTATAAAATATTTAAATCAGGAAATTGAATTGAATTGATTTGGTTTTTAATTGGTTACCCCTGGTCTATAAGCTGACTGCAACAATGGCTGTTCATTTTTTTCTGAGCAGTGGAACGTGTCGGTTCCATCATTTGGTCTCTCACCCGGCTGAAAAACAGACAAACTTCCATCTGTGTGTCCAAACACCAGCTTTCCCTTCTTGGTGGGGTGCCATCGGAACAGACAGATATCAGAGAGGAAGGAGTGGGCTTCCTTGTGGACGGTGACCCCCGGGTCAGAGCCTCTGTAATCCCAGATGTAGAGCGGACCGCGCTGGGAGACGAACGCCACTCCTTCAGTGGAGTTCAAGCACCAGCTGACGGACACAGGGACGCCTGAGGAAGGCAGAGGGGAGGTTAAAGGACATACAGCAGACCAACTTGGGCTGCTGACAACAAAGCGCTCACCTTTAGTGTTGTCCAGCCTCGCCACTGCCTTTTTCTCAGCTACGTTCCAAATAATAAGCAGATTGTCGGCGGAGGCTGACGCAAACAGATCCGGGTTGTCGGGACACCAGCTGATGGCTGTTATGGTCTTTTTGTGCTCCGACATGATGGACCTCAGCTTGAATTCATTGTACTGCTGATCCAGCTGAAACAGAGGCATAGAGACAAACAAACTTGGTTTAATCTCTGAGGTAGAGGAAAAATGCTCAGGTAGGAGATAAATGCTGGAATCACTGCTTTTCAATTTTGGCTGTGAAATCCATGCCCCAATTCACTTGCATTCGCTTCGACTGCGTTTTGTCGTTGACTCTTCAGCAATCCCTTAAACCAAGCATGCATGTAGCAACAGTGGAGAGGAAGAACTTCAAACCTCCAGCAGAACCAGGCTCACTGTGAGCCGCCATATGCCGATACCAACTAGGGTTCAAGAAGAAAGAATAGACAAAAGAAAAGAAGCAGAGATAACAAGGGAAACTGTCAACCAGCTCCACAGGCGGCCCCGTCCAGGAAACACACAGGCAGGCAGACGAGCTGCAAGACAGCTCCCATGTTAGAGGATGAAGAGAGCACATCCAGTTAGTTACAGTCTACACTCACAGTAGCCTGGGTGCCATTCCGAACTTAGTCCCGCCCACAACGTTTGAGGTCGGGAAGTTCAGTCTGGCATTGCTCAATAGTAGCGCGAGTATGCTTGCCCAATATCTGGCGGGCCAATCAAATTGTCAGGGCGGGCTTTATACGATGATGGACAGATGATCAACAGTAACGTAATCAACCACGTCACCCAACGGCGATGCAACTCGCCGTGAACGACGAGGTGGATATAGCCAGCGGTCGTTGCCAGCTCCTTCTCGGAAGCCCGGAATCCTGGCTGCTGAACAACAAGTGGAGGGACATGCTAGGCTCCGATGTTTTTCAAGCCAACGTTATGGGTATCGTCGTGGACGAAGTTCATCTAACTTACAAATGGTAACAGATCATCTGACTGTCTGATTTAGTAAAAAACTCGCAATGTCGTGATATTAATCCCATGTTGTAAACATAGTAGGTAACGTTGCACGTTTGAGGTGGGGAAGTTTAACATACGTCACGCACTCCGTTGCTCTTATTGGTTGTAGGTCTATCCAATTGAGTGCAGAGGCATTTTTTTTCCTTGTTCGTTCGAAACACACCCCATAATCACAGCTCTATGGAGCAGTATCAGACTCATATTCTGACTAGAATTGAGTAGGACTACGTCAGGCTAGACTCACAGGACTACATGGACAAAACAGGCCAAGCTCCAACATCTATAAACAAAGGTGTTGATGGCAGCAGCACAGCTGATATTTCTCTCCAGGATGGAGTCACAGCCAAACAGGAACAGACCAGATGAAGCTACTATGAGAAAAAGCAGAGAGAGCAGAACATTAGAGATTAAACTAAAGGATTCTGCAGAGTGGGAGAATAGAGATAGAATAAAGCAGAATGAGGAAATGGGGTCCTTATGTCCTCCAGCAGTCTAAGCCTGTAGCAGCATAACTATATCAATGAAGATAAGTTAGGATAGGAGAGATATGATCTCTCTTTTTAATTTTTCATCAGAACTCCTGCTGCAGCATTTTGGATCAGCTGAAGGTTTTTAACTACAGTTTGTGGACTTCCTGATAGCAAAGAATTACAATAGTCCAGCCTTAAAGTAACAAATGTTAGTTTCTCAGCATCACCCCTGGACAGGATGACTTCTGATCACCTGGAGAAGAGAGAGTGGGATCTGCATGGATACCATGCGGTAAAAACTTAAAAACCAAAGATTGATTGAAAAAAAAAAGAAATGATAGATGCACACAGGGGTAAATTCACCTGGTAGATGTAGATGGCCAGCGTAGCGCAGTAGGCGAAGCGGTCTCCACTAGCTGCACACACATCTTTGTTCCAGGGCTGACAGCCTGCTGCCAGGAGGCCCACCTGCTTCACCTTGGCCATCCTCACCTACAGAAACCAGCAGAAAAACGGATCAGTAAAGATATGAAAGCATGAATCTGAGTTCATTTCTTGCCCTCTCCGGTTTCAGTTACGCCGGCAGGGTGCGTGCCTCCACCGGCAGAAGAAGTTAAGATGATTAAAGAAGGGATTGAATTAATCTCCGCGGCAGTCGTTCTTCTTTATCTGTTGACAGTGTTAAAGGCGCAAAGGATGAGCTGGGAGAGCAACTGTTTTGTAGATAAAGAGGACCTCCTGAGCTTTAATGAGGGCCAATGAGCAGAATCGTCCAATCAGAGGTGTTCTTCAAAAGCCCCCGGGCCGTGACCCCTGACCTCGTCTTGTAAGGTGCAAATCGGCGTAATTTACATGTCGATTTCTCTCAGTCTTTCCCTATAAACCGATAATCAGGGAGGATTAATCAGATATGGCGCCCTTTGATGGAGAAACCTTTCAAGTTAATAAAAACAGAACCAGAATAGCTTTAAAAGAGCATTTGACTCAGATCAAATGTATAATCTTTTATTTATTTTTTTATTCAACCTGTTTTGGAAACAAACCGAGTCCGGTTTTATTCACATAACCCTGAAATTACCAAACCGGTTCAGGTCCATCAAAGAAAATAAATGAAATCATAAAATTCCGAATAAGAACAAATAAAAGATATTAATACTGGTTCTGATCCGCTGGACTTCAAAGATTCTTTTTGAGATCATTTCAGTGTTCAGCTCACTGAACGAGTCCTTCGGATCATGGACAAAATTTTGATTTAAGAAGTGGGGGGGACCAAGCATTTTTCAAATTTAACTATTATATATAAGTTCAGCATGTTTTCTAGTACCGTATTTTCACGACTATAAGGTGCATATAAACGTCTTTTTTTTTCCTCAAAATGTGCGGTGCGCCCTATGTGTGTTGCAACTGCGACTTTTGAGACCACCTCATTGAGGAGATGATGAAAGAGTGGCTGAGGGAGGTGAATGTAAGGAGACCAGGTGGTTTTTTTTCCACTCATCACCATCGCTGTTAATCTGACTACATGCCTGCCCATCTCACAGCTGATGTGAAAAACATGGTGAAACAAATTAATGCTGTGCTCGCTGTGAACCGGACGCAGCAGGTGCAGCAGAAGCAGCGAGTTTACATGCAAAGTCAACGGTTGACGAGCGTATAAACGCAGCAAAAGGTCCCCAGCGCGTTTTGAGCAGCAGGCGCAGCGCCGCGGGAGCGCGCCGCCAACGCGCTGCTGCTGCTCGAGATGGAAAAATTGAAGTTTTGCTGCTGGACGCGCCGCATCAACCAATCAGAGAAGCTGATCTGGGAGCTGACAGCGAGACAGACACAGCGCTCTGATGACATATTAAAGCAAATGAAAGGGCTGGATGGATGAGGAGATGATGAAAGCGTGGCTGAGGCAGGTGTATGTGAGGAGACCAGGTGTTTTTTTCCACGCATCACCATCGCTTTTAATATGTGACTCCATGCGTGCCCATCTCACAGCTGATGTGAAAAACATGGTGAAAAAAAATAAACGCTGTGCTCGCCGTTATCTCGGGGGTCTGACAAAGGAACTTCAACCGCTCGACATCGGTGTGAACCGGCCGTTCAAAGTAAGGCTGCGAGCGGCGTGGGAGCGATGGATGACCGACGGAGAGCACAGTTTCACGATAAGTGGAAGGCAGCGCCGGGCAAGTTACGCCACCGTTTGCGGATGGATTGTAGATGCTTGGACTAACGTGTCTGCTGGCTCTGTTGTTCGAGCTTTCGCAAAAGCCGGCATTATTTCTGAGGAGCTGTGCTGCACGGAAAGTGACTCTGACAGCGAAGAAGGGGAAATTGGCATGTCAGATTTAGCGCAGCTGTTTAATTCCGAAACAGAGGATGAGGACTTTGATGGGTTTGATTAATACTTTGTAATAAATACATGAATAAAGCACAATCATACTCAGTTTTGCTCCCGCTCTATTTTTCTACCTGAAAACTTAATTCAACAGCAGGGCGGGTCTCCTCCTCTTCACCGCGGCGGCTGGCAGGTGTTTTTTCATCTAAATAATCTAAATCTTGTAGCTATATTTGCTGTGATCAGTGGGAATAAAGTAGTTTTAATATGTTTTTAAGTGAGAAAGTCCACCTGAAAACTTCATAATTGCAGTCAGTTCTTCCAGATTATCTATTTCTGTCAGAGGCGCTCAGACCCCCACATACCAGCGGCGCACCGACAGTAGAAATCCCTTCATCAGCAGCCTCTAGGCCGGGTCGCCTCCGGGTTCACCGCGGCGGCTGGCAGGTGTTTTTCATCTAAATAATTTAAACTGCAGGCACCAGGATACCGGTAATAAAAGCGAACATATTCCGTTGGCAGGTTTCAGGATTTTAAGTTAATTTATGAGTGACCACAGCGCTGTGTCATCTCTCACGGCCAGCTCCCAGGTTTGATTAATACTTTGTAATAAATACATGAATAAAGCACAATCATACTCAGTTTTGCGCCCGCTGTATTTTTAAATACGCAGTAGAGGTATTTAAAGGTAGTAGAGGACATGTACCTGTATATAAAAAACGCGCCCTATAGTCCGGTGCGCCTTATGTGTGCGTTAAATACAGAAATGGGACACATAACTGAGACTGCGCCTTTTAGAGACAGCGCTTTCTGCCAGAGTGGTGGTGCAGAGGTAGCCCATTTTCCCATCAATGTTTTATGTAACCATTTTTTTCTTTTTAAAATTGTTACTAAGAAGTGAAAGATCGATATTATATTGGGCAGCCGAATATCATGATATATCGCCAAAACGATTATTTCCCACACCCCTAATTATTATCTAGAGACTATTAATAACAGCAGGAGCTTCAGACGAGCCTAGCGTGTGGTGACGTCACAAGTATGCTTCTGTTTATAATTGACCCATATTTAAGCTGCGTGCCATCATTCTCCCCAAGTCCACACTTTCCTGCGTTTTTCTCAAGAACATACTTGGGCGAGGACACGAGTCTGTACCCGTGTTCTAGTGAATTGAGAAACGACCAAAAACAACATAAACTCTTTGGTGCTCAGGCCCCAGCAGAAGACTTTGATGCTGTGAATTATTGTGTGCTAGGATGAGTAATCTAGAAAAGAATGAGAGTATTCTTCTCCCAGGGCGTGAGCACTGGTGGTGGAATAAGCCAGAGGATGAGTGGGACTGAGAGTGAGGGAGAAGATGTTGTGGAGGTGGGTAAAAGTTTGCTTGCGTGTCGGAGAGAGAAGCTCGACCAGGAGCTAAATGACGGGGAAAGATAATTAACTTCAGAGAAGGTGCTGGAGAACCTTCTCTGGGTTCTCGATTGGCTGGAGCTGAATGGGGGACAACGCAGGTGGTTCAGGTGGAGCTAATAACAGTCTTTCAGATTGAATTTACGCTTCATGTCTGAAGTGTTTTTTGTAAATGAGTCTTAAAAATTTATCAGATACAAAACACCTCCCATTAGCCAGTGTGTTTTCACTTAAAGCTGCATGTAGCCACTTGTTTTTTTGTTTTTTTTAAAGGTCATCTGTAATGAAATTAACTGACCCAATTATGACCCTCAGTTCCCCACCTCACCATCTGTGTCGCTAATTTCCCAGCCTCCAGGTTTTTTGTTTACAAATCACAATATTTGCATGGAAGTTGCAGTTTGCACGCCTTTTTTTAAATGGATAAACTGTTCCTGACAACTGAATGTACAATATGAGCATAAACAGAAATGAAATCTAATTAACAAAACATGTATTTATCTATCTATCTATCTATATATATATATATATATATATATATATATATATATATATATATATATATATATATATATAAATAACAGGGATGCAACATCTGCACTGTTAAATTTAGCCAGGGCTCCAGAAGGGCAACGCAAAAAACACAACGGATTTAAGGCAATATCTGATATCGGCCAATTAATCGGATATCGTTTTTTTAAAGACAATATCGATATCGGCCTTAAAAATTCCAAATCAGTCGGGCTCTGGTTTATATTCAAAAACAGAATAACATAAAGTTCCTTCTGCATCCATTAAATGTAACCCCATACATAAACTCCATTAAACAGAGTAAATAATCCCTGACCATTCTGATAATCTGGATCTATTCATGGCTCTACACTAGCTGGCTTTTTTTTTTTTTTGCAAAAACCCGTGAGGCTCCTGTGAAGAATGTACAGTGTCGCCCTGTAGTGGAGAACAGCAGAACTACAACACTGAAAGAAATTCCTGAGCAGATGATGTCCATTCATCAACAATTAAATGTAATTTGATTACTTTTTTACATCCATGATATTGGGAGAGAAATCTAGATTACAAAGTTGATAAGCTGCAGGAAGGACATTAATTGATTTGCAACAATTTTCTCTAACCCCTTAGAAAAACATTTTTAAATGGATAATTGGATAATTTCTAACTGAAATTTTCAGTTCTGAAACCTCCTCCTGTTTAGGGTCCAAACAGCTTAGATTAAAAGCCTGAACCTCCAGCATATCTGGGTTGTCCTTCTCAATAACATCCTGAGACCAGATTGAGAAGACTTTATCTTGCATAGATTTATTTATTTTTGCAACAAGAGTCTTTAGAACCTGGCCAGAAAAACAGCTTTGGTCCAAATAAATAATCATCATGTTCTGCTGGTACTCTGTGATCCTATGGACCAGATAGTTGCTGGCTGGATTTCTTTGGATCAGAAGAATCAAATTGCATTGTGGCCTTTCCGAAATGATAATCCCAGCAGGAGTCTTCAGAAGGAAACTTCATGATGGTTTGGGTCAGGGGTTTAATAGGCGAAGCAGAACTGATCAACAGTGTGGTTCACAGGTGTAACTTTTTGAAGAACTTGTGTGGACAGTCCACACTAGGGGTGGGTATTGCCAAAGAAGTCACGATTCGATTCGAATCACGATTCATAGGCCACGATGCGATTCTATCACGATGCATCACGATACTTGAATTATTGCGATGCATTGCAATATTTTCTCCTCCATGTTTTGTTTTTGAATGACTCAGCGCAGTATCCTGCGGCCGGAAATGCTTGTGACACAAGGCAGCGTGCGTCAACACATCCGCATCAACATCTACTGGACTGGAAGTTGTATTACACTTGTTTTTGGCTGATGTTCGCCAACTATTCATGAAATTTTATTTATTCATTTTTTTTTTAATTAATAATCGATACTTGGCGTCAAGAATCGATGCAGTATATCACGAAAATTAGAATCACGATGCATCATCATGACGATTATTTTGCACACCCCTAGTCCACACCAATAATTTAACTCTCCCGCTGCTCCCGTGTCCCGCATCGCAGTAAAGCATCATCGTATCTGTCGCTTTGAGACATCTGATTTGAGATCGCATTTTACGTGGTTGGAGAAGAGACACACAGCAGCACTCAGTGAATATTAACCAGCAGCTACTTTCATTTTGAAGTAAAAGTTAGGCGATTTGGTAAAAAAAAAACATTAAAAAATCAAGAGGTAGAAATTAGTTTGTTTGACGTACGGAGCTTTTTCAGCTAAAAATGGCAACAAATTGTAAGTTTATCCAAGTTAGTAATATAACGCAAGAAGCTGGAGAAAACATTGTTTTTTATTCTTTACTAGTTTAAAAAAAAAGCTTGGCTTCTCAGAGGACCATGACTCCCAGTTACAGGTTAAAATTAACATTTTTTTTTTTTATTGCACAGACAGAATCAGACTGCAGAGCTTCTACATATCTGGACATGTTGCTTCCGGCATCATTATATTAGTAAAGAGCTTCATAAACCTTTTTAAACAGAGAGAAATGGGGATAGCTGCAAGTTTAAAGGTGAAACAGATTTACTGGGATATGCAACATGCAATAAAATGTATCTCCAAGTTTACCAGAAAGTTTATATAAATATATATATATATATATATTGCCGCATATCCAGATTTTTCTGAATGGATAGATGGAATTGAAATTGTACTTCTAGGGATGCATGATATATTGATTTTGGCATCAGAATCTGCTTTTATTCATATTTTTTTTTATATACATTAATGTTTTTGGGCCCTATCTATGTAATGCACTAAAAAACATCTTTCTAACCATCTATAAATATAAATATTAGTGTATTATAGTTCTATGTTCTCAACAATAGGAACACATTCAATAAATATGTGTTTGAGCTCATTTTTGGAAAATACAAAAACCTAATGAAAGCATTGGGGTGGAGTAACTGTAGGTCCATCAGCCTCCACCCTTAGAGTGTCCCCACTGATTTTCATCATAAAGTTAAACCCTTGTTTTGGTTTATATCTGAACCATCCCATGATGTTTTATTTTAGCTGTGCGCCGCTAAAAGGCTGCCCTGTCCTGCCACCGACCCCCACAGGACCCGGAGCAGCGCAGAGAGCCTCAAAACGGGCCCGGTTCCGATGGGCTGATAATACTGGCTTACTGCTTCTCTTGGTTTTTATGGAGACATAATCTGTGCCACGGTGCGTGTCCACGCGTGACACATAAAAGGGGATTTTCACATGGCGCTGCCGGGTTGGAATGAATAAGAATCATAGATATCGGTGATCGGCGCAGGTACTTTGGGACCGGCAGAGGTCCCAGGCTGCGGTTAGATCCCAGGAGGACGGATGAACCTGCAACAGGTCTTAGCAAAACCAACTAATCCACGGAAGACGTTCGGCAGACACCTGCGCGACGCTGATGCGGCAGCGCGGTGACGGCGCGCGCGGCTAGCACCTGCTTTATTTCTCTGCTTTTCCGTTTTATTTTCTTTTTTCACTGATGGTTACATTCGTTCAGCAGCTCGATTTGAGCCAGGTTCTCCTCTTACCGTAAGGTGTCGACAGGCCGCTCCGTGGCGGACAGCTGCTGAATGGAGTCCTGCCGCTCCTACTGATGCTGCCGCATCCCAGCGTCGTCCAAGAGGGGCGGGACCAATGCCGAGCGGCGCCTGATTGGTCGACGAGGCAGCTCATTCTTAACAACCATTGGCTGCCGTGTATGTCGATCTAGCACTCTTCCTTTCCGGAGGTTCAAGATATGGTCAACATTTCACACAACTTGGAATAAAAAAAATATATAAAATTTTATTTGCTTAGCTAAATATTCAAGAAACACAAAAGTGAAACTCCTTATAGCATTTATTTACCATGAAGTATTTTGCCATTGTGAAATTTTCCCGAATTCCTATGAAAAAGGGGTTGTGAAGACACTTCTTGGTAATGTTGTTCTAACCAATATTTATGAGAAACATGCAAACCTGAAGACTTTGAAAAGCTTTACTTTGGTATACATAATATTTGCCATAGCTTCCATATGGCAAGTCATCATTTCACCTGAATTTATGCATTAGTACAAGTAATTTTCAGTTTTAATTCCCCCAGTCCTTGGCCAAGACAGTTTTTGCATTTATACTGAATTTGCCTACAAGTATACCTATTGATCCTTAAGGCCTCACAGATAACTTTTGTTTAGACAAGTTGATTTTTGATGAGGCCTGCATGCTCTAAATTTACAAGGGCTAGCAGCTGTTCAAGGTCTCTCCCTGAAAAGTAATCAGCCTCAGAAACAGGTTTCTTGGTAAGAAGTGAGATAAAGTATTTTAAATTATACAGACAAGCAAGTTGCTTAAACAAGTTGTAACACTTTAAACCTACCATTTTAAGTTTTTTTTTTAGTTTAACCTTTAATTTCATAAGGTGGAAAATAAACGCTGGGAGCATTTGATTTCAAAGAGCATAAACATTTAGATGTACAACAAAAGACTCAGGATATAATCAATATACAAAATTTTATTATAAAAGAAAAATTCATTCTACATGTTTTAAAGTTCCACTTTAAAAATGGCTGCCATCTTTAATCAAGCTACAGAAACATCCTGGTAATAAAACAGTGGAGAAAAAACAAAACAAAACTGCACCACTAGAACAGAAAACATAAGCAGTGCCCCCAGAAACAAATTTCAAAAGAAAAAAAAAATAGAAAATGTCCTGCTGTCCGCTAGTGGAGCTCAGTCCAATGAATCGCTGCTTAAATAGCAACAAGGATCTAAGGTGTAACAAACCCGAGTTCAGTAGAAATAACACATAAGTGGACCAGGTGAGGAAATGAAACTAAATCCCTGAATCAGAAGGAGGCATTCAGACCCACAGGGACAGCAGGCTAAATGTTGCAATCACACCCACACAAAAAAAGCCACTTAATCATCATCTTCATCGTCGTCTTCATCATCCTCCTCGTCATCTTCATCCTCATCATCGTCGTCATCGTCAGCAGGCTGGGCCTTCTTGGCTGGGGGCCGGCCAGGGCCGCTCTTCTTCCCGGCGTCGCTCTTCCCAGAGCCTCCCTTGGCTCTATAGGCAGCAACATCCTGCAGAGGAACATGCAGTGAATAAGCCAGAGTTCCACACAGGGAACATCCCTCCCAACACCCCTGCACATACCTTCTCGTATTTCTCCTTCAACTTGGCTGCCTTGGCCTCATATGGAGCCTTATCTTTGGGGCCCTGGGTAGCCCACAGCTCTCCAAGCTTCTTGGCGATGTCTCCTATGGAGATGCCGGGGTTCTCCTCCTTGATCCGGGGACGGTGGTCAGAGCAGAAGACGAAGAAAGCAGAGCTGGAGAAACAAAGATGGACTCCTTATTCTCAGAAAACTGAAAAGGACAAAAAAGCTGGTGGTATGGACAACTTACGGTGGTCTTTTGGGTGCATTGGGGTCCTTCTTCTTCTTGCCCTTCTTCATGCCCTTGGGAGGGACGTACGACTTCATCTCCCTGTCATAACGGACCTTGTCAGTTTTGGCCATCTCGTCAAACTTCACCTTCTCCTTGGCTGACATGGTCTATCGATTTGAAGACGGAGATAAAGTTAATATTCTTTACGTGTAAATCTGGGACCAGTTCCCCGTCACTCACACCGGCTCACCTTCCATCTCTCTGAGCACTTCTTGGAGAACTCTGCAAAGTTGACGCTGGTTCCTGGGTGCTTCTTTTTGTGCTCCTCACGGCAGGTTGCAACAAAGTAGGCATATGCTGAGGTTTTCCCTCTGGGCTTATTGGGGTCTTTCGTCATGGCTGCGCTTACTCTAAAAAAAAAATGTTAAATGAGAAATTAAATATATAGTTCTAATAAATTATTCCTGTAACCAGTAAGAGCACCATTTGAACCATTCATCTAATTTAATCCAGGTATCCTAGCATGCAACAGGATCAGAGGTGCACAAGTAAAACAAGTTTTATCAAGCTATGCTGACAGCACTTTTCTTCCTTTCGATTTCAAATTATGGGGTTTAAGAAAAATACTTGAATAATCTTCGTCTATAAAAGCATTTATAGTTAGATTAAAACAATGGTTCTGACTCCATTTAAGAACGGCTGCCATAATCTGTTAATCGTTCAAGACAAAATTATTTAGCTGCTAAATCATCATTTAGCAGCTAAAATATTTCCTGAATTTTAAATAGGAATGTGTCCTATTTATCTGAGGTCACCCTGGAGAAAAAAAAATATGGCGCGTTATGGGGAAATAAAAAGTAAACATCCACGATAAGAATCAGCGCTCCATCAAATGAACCGACAAACTATTTTTAAAGTTATCCAAAGTAAACTTTGACTCATAATTAATTTGTTAAATGTTAACGAGGCCCAGATCAGCCTGGTAGACGCTGGGCGGACTCGTCTTCAGACACTAATCGGATTTCTTCGGAACAAAAAGACGCGACTCCATTTTGTATCTTCCCGCCTAAACTCAAACTGCCCCTAAACTTCCCCGACAGAGCCGCCCCAAATCAATATGTAAAAAATAAAACTCCGAACAGGTTCTGGCGACCAGCACCAGACCCTGCACCTAGTCAGAACAAATTTGTGGGTTGTTTTTGACCGAAAACGAGGAGTTTCCGTCGTGTTTGGCGGCCGCGCTGCATAGTCAAATGGCGTTTCAACTGCGCGATACGCACCAACACCCTCAGGCCACAAAACAAGCAGAACAACGACACACAAACAAGAATCCGGCTACATTTATATCATTAGAAACCGACACACCAGCGGCTTTCCTTAAAAGTTATTTTCGACAAACATTAACTTTACCCTCTAGGCCAAAAAGGTCATAAAAAGTTCACTTTCCGCTTTTAAAGCTCGACGACTCGATCGAGACGAACACACTATTAAAGGGTAACATCAAAAAATGATATTCATAAAGAAGAAAGGACCAAAATGAGCAATTTGGGACAGAAACAGCGTCTCTTACCTGCTCTCTCCAACACTAGCTGTAAACGACTGAATGAGGAAGAAAGAAGAACTGTTTGTCACTACCTAAAACTGGTTTGGTGGCTCATCCCCCCGCTTCAGCGGATTGGCTAACTCTAAGCATTTAAACCTAAACGCGGGGCGGGGCACAGAACCCATTCTCCGCTCTGATTGGCTGAATTATCTGAGCGAACGCGTCTGTGTTTTTCTGCCCCGTCCATCGCCGATTGGCTGTGTTGGACTTTTAAACATACGGCGCGAAACGGAATTGGCCTTTGTTTGCAGCTGCTACAGGAGATAAGGGACGTCTTCCTCTGCAACCGCTTGTTGTTTTTTGAAACACGAGTCCGCCCGAAGCCGCAGCAGTTAGTTAAGCACAGCCCTGTTTAGCACTTCTGTTTTACAGAGTGGGCCAACCAAATAAAAGCTTCATCAGGATGGAGTTTAAAAAAAACCTTTATTTGAAATAACTGTCCGGAAATATTTCCAAACTAAACTTTAAATTGCACAATTAAGTTACTTTTGAGTCTTAAAGCTGCAAGTAATCACAAACCTTCTCATAAGTACATCAATGGCTTTTCATTATTTTAGTTCTATGTTCTGTGGTGAGTAAAGCTCTAATATAGAAATGCAAATACATGTATTTTATTGTCTGGTAGCAAGTAAACACATTATTTATGTGGATTTTTGCCTTGGTGTGTGAATAAATGGCTTATTTCAACAGTTGGAGTGGATCTGTGTAGGGGGGGGTCAGGCTGCTGAGAACAATTGTTCCTGATGGGCCGGGGGTGGGTTACATGTCAAAGAGGGACCTCAACAGCCTGCCTTTTGTTCATGGAAATGGCTGCTTGAAAATGTAGCCCTCGTTAATTAATGCCCCTAAATGACCCGGAAGATGGCGGAGCGAGCAGACGTGCTGTGAATAGCTCAGAGTAGCGAAACCTTGCAAGTCAATAGAACAAATGTATGTCAACGAAACCCTGACTTACTAGATGTAAGACTGGAGAGATCTTACTTATATATCACAGAAACGTGTAAGTAACTCTGAAAACCTCCCGGAAAACGTTATTGTAGAACATGGCTAACGTTAGCACCAAAGCTAACGCTAAGATGAAGGCGCTGCAGACACACGACTACTGTGGTCCGGAAAGGATGGAAACTAACAGTAGAGGAACCAAAAACACTTTAACATCTCCTGCCAAACCATCACAGAAAAAGACCAAAGTGGACGACGTGGTAGGTGCTGAAGTCCGTGTTGAAGAAAACTCTACCGCTGCCATCCTGTCTGCCATCGGCACGCTTCAGACCATGATGCAGGATTTCAGAGTGGAGTTGAAGCAGAACACACTGACTATAACCAACATTGCCAAAGCGGTGGAGTTTAACTCTGCCGAAATCAAACAATGTAAAGAACAGTGTCAAAAACTGGGCGTGGAGGTGAAACAACTCAAAGAGGAAAACGCAGAATTTGGAAGAAAAGCAGCAGAAATGGAAAAAAGAGCTGCAGAGATGGAGCGCTATAAAAAAAAATGGAACCTGCGGGTTATTGGATTACCGGAAGGAAAAGATGAAAACACGAGACAAGTCATTTCTGATATCATCAGAAAGATAGCACCACACTGGAGGGAGAAGATAGATTTCATCCTAGATTCTGTGTACCGACTGGGACCAAACAACACCAACCGCCCTCGTCAGATCATCCTGCAGTTCACAGGACGCCACTTCAGGGATGAACTCTGGAGGATCACCAAACTTCACCCCGTCTGCAAGGAGCTGAACATCCGCCTGGCAGAAGATCTCACCAGGGAGGACAGGGAGGCACGAAGGGCTGTGTGGCCCAAAGTGGAACAAGCAAGGAAAGCAGGACTAAAGACGGTGTTCCGAGGCCCCCATGCCTTCATTAATGGTCAAAGAGTCTCACCATAGACACAACCGTTCAGGGTTTTTAACCCCAAAATAAGTAAGTTTGAATGAAAAAGTATTTTCAGGGTTTTGCTACTGTCATATCTCCCTAAAAAGGAACCGTTACTGTTCTAAGCTCAGGAATCTAGTGTTGTTGATTGTTAATTTGTTTTTGCTCTATGTTCAGTTTAAAGAGCAATATTCTTTTAATTTCTGTTAATGCAAGGGGTTTAAGAAACATAACAAAGAGAAAAAGCTTTTTTTTATTTTGTAAAGGGAAGAAGTCAAATATAATTTTTTTGCAGGAAACTCATTCTAAGAATGATGATATTGTGTTTTGGGCCAAACAGTGGGGAGATGATGCTTACTTTAGCCATGGTACTCCAAGATCAGCAGGTGTCGCCATCCTCCTAAATAACTTTAAAGGTCAGATAATGTCCCATATAGCAGATGAGTATGGTCACTGGATCATTCTTATTATTAACATTGATGGTCTAAAATTCATATTAGTCAACATTTATGGATACAACGTCCGCAGAGAAAACCAAAACCTACTGGATCAAATTGGCTTACATTTGGACAATCTCAAATTAACATTCTCAACTGATAATGTCATAATTGGTGGTGATCTAAACCTAGTTCATGATGATTTTTTAGATAAATATCCTAGTAGATACTCTGCAAGTCACCCAAACATCACATTCACAAACTTTTACGAAAAACATAATTTGGTTGACATTTGGAGACATTTAAATCCAGGATTAACTAAATACTCCTGGTTTAGCGCGAACCATAAATTTAAATCCAGAATTGACCACTGGCTGATTGCTAATCATTTACTATTATATAATATTAGCTCTGATATCTCTGCTGCACCTCTAACAGATCATTGTATGATCTTACTGCAGATCAAACCTAATGATAACACTGTCCACTCACACACATATTGGAAGTTTAACTCCACTTTGCTTAAAAACAATGACTACTGCCAGAAAATCAAATCATTAATTAAAGAAATATCCAAATTGGAGGAACTAATAAATGCTACCAAAAAATGGGAATTTTTAAAATATAAAATACGCTTATTTACCATTTCATTCAGCAAAATTGTTAAAAAAGACAGGGAAAAACATGAAGTAGACATTATTAATCAGTTAAATATTTATTGCAACAGGCCTAACCCAACTGAAGACGATAGACAGAAGATTCTAAACCTCCAACCTAAACTAGATGAAATTTACAACCGTAAGGCCCAAGGGGCCTTCATCAGATCCAGAGCTAAGTGGATAGAGGAGGGAGAAAAAAATTCTGCATATTTCTGTGGTCTTGAGAAAAGGAGACAGGAAAAAAATAGCATCAGATCCTTAATGGTTAATGATAATGAAGTCACGGATGAAAAATTGATCTCTACTGAAATCTTTAAATTTTATAGCCAGCTCTATAGCTCTAAGTTCTCTCACATGGACTGTGAACTTTTTTTTCTTGAAATAATCAAACATATTCCCCAAGTGGAGGACAGCCTCAAACAAACATGTGATAATCCAATAACAATTAGAGAACTTGATGCAGTGATTGGTCGTCTCTCTCTTAACAAAGCCCCAGGATCTGATGGTCTCACAGGAGACTTTTACAGACACTTTTGGACAGATTTAAGAGACCTACTGTTACAAGTTTTTACTGAAATATTTGAAACCTGTGCGCTTCCACCAACAATGAGACATGGGGTTATTGTCTCAATTCCAAAACCTGGGAAAGATCCCAGAATCATAGATAACAGAAGACCCATTACACTTAGAAATTCAGACTACAAACTTCTAACTTACATCTTCAAGTCTCGTCTCCAAACAGGTATTTCAGATCTAATTGCAGATACACAGTCAGGATTCTTAAAGGGAAGATCAATCCATAATAATATTAGATTGGTAATGGACATCATTGAATATAGAAACCAAATAGAAGATGATGGCTTCCTTCTCTTTCTAGACTTCTACAAAGCGTTTGACTCTGTGGAGCATCCATTTATTCTTTCGACTCTCAAACACTTTGGTTTTGGAGTCAAGTTTATAAAATTTATCGCTGGATTGTATCGTGATATTAACAGTTGTGTCCTACTGCCCAGTGGCACCACCCCAAGCTTCAAGGTTAATGTGGGGATTCCTCAGGGCTGCCCCATCTCACCATACCTGTTCATCTTAGCCACAGAAATGCTAGCTATCTATATTAAGAACTGTAATGATATCGAAAAACTTAATGTACTTGGCACAAACATAATAATTAGCCAACTTGCAGATGACACAACTATATTCCTGAAAGATAGACACCAAATTTCAAAAACTATTGATAAAATTGAAAAATTCTCCAAAGCCTCAGGCCTAACATTAAACATTAAAAAGTGTGAATTACTGGCTGTACATGAAACCCCACTGAAAGACATCTGTAATATCCCTATCAAATCTGAAATTAAATATCTGGGTATCCATTTATCCAAAGACCAAAAACAGAGCCAACTTCTGAATGTAGAAAATAAAATAAAAGAAGGCAAGTCACGACTAAACTTATGGTTGCAGAGGGACTTATCAATACTAGGACGGATCTACCTAACTAAGATGGAATGCTTATCTAGATGTATCTACCCGGCTTATTCCAATGCCATTCCAAAAAAATTAATTAAATCTATCAACCAAATCAACCTAAATTTCATTTGGAGAAATAGACCACATTATATGAAGAAAAGCAGTATGGTTAAAGACGCAAAAGATGGGGGTCTCAAAGTTATTGATTTTGACTGTCTAAATGGGACCATAAAAATAAATTGGTTAAAATCTTGGATCAAACACAGCAACTCCTTTTGGTTTTGTATTCCAAGGTCCTTGTTCAAGAAAATTGGAGGATTGGATTTTCTTCTTAGAGCGGACTTTAATGTTGACAAATTGCCAATAACACTATCAGAGTTTCACAAACAAATCCTCTTGTACTGGAAAATGTTATATGTGCATAACTTCTCACCCCACACAGCTGTTCTCTGGAACAACAGATATATTCTGCACCGCAACAAATCTTTGTTCTTTGAAGACTGGTATGGGAGAAATATATGGTCCATAGTAGATTTAATGGATGCCAACGGAGCTTTTTATAATTATAAACAATTTTGCATTAAACATCATTTCAAACCTTTAGAGTCAGACTTTAACAAATTACATAGAGCACTACCCCAGGAATTTGTTTTTTTAATCAAAAATACTTTGGCATAT